CAGTACAAAAGTTCGGATTTCAGAAAAAAAGAAAGGAAATATATGTCTGCAGCGACCGTATCAGGTCGGCAGAACAACAAAGAGTGTTTCAATAGTACGGCATGGGCCAGATGGGGTACCCGCTGTTACTTTGTAATGTTGAATACCTATTTTCAGTCTGACACTATATTTCTTGTCGCAAGAGTTGACTTAAATGGTTGGGTTGTTCGGTTGATTGTGTGCGATCATTTTCTGTCGACGTTGGATGTTTCTCATTATACTGACAGGCTACCGTCATACAGCTGAATATTTACTGTCTGCGCAATGACGGTTTCATCGGTTCAATGTGTTTTTTTGTGTGATTGATTGGAGGAGGCCCGGTTCAACCTTTATGATCAACTGAGGTTTTAAAATAACACGCACATCAATATAGTACAAACAGATACATGACAGTCACCTTTGGAAAAATGGCATTAAAAATAAAATACATGTAATTCTATGAGGTGACTATGGGTGACTCCACGAGACAATACACGCAGACCATGAGATAACACCTGGATACAACAAGATAGTACCTGGAGGCCATTAGAGAATACCTAGAGGCCACGATTTAATACATACAGGTCCCAGGATAATACAGGCAGGTCAAGAGATGATACCCGGAGGCCACTAGATAATACCTGCAGACCATGAGATAACATCTCGAGGCCACGAGAAAATCCCTTGAGGCCACTAGAAAATCCCTGGAGGCCACTAGATAACACCCGCAGTCCATGAGATAAAACCTGGAGGCCACGATATAATACATGGAAGCAGCGAGATAATACCTGGAGGCCACTAGAAAATACCCGCAGTCCATGAGATAAAAACTGGAGGCCACGATATAATACATGGAAGCAGTGAGGTATTACCTGGAGGCATCTAGAACCACCCGCACACCACGAGATAACACCTGGAGGCCACTAGAAACACCTGCAGACCGTGAGATAAAACCTGGAGGCAAGCGGGATAGTACCTTGAGGCCACTGGATAATACCTGGAGGCCACGATATAATACATACAGATCCCCAGATAATACCGGTAGGTCAAGAGATGATACCCGGATGGCTCGAGATAATACCTGGAGGCCACTAGATAATACCTGTAGACCACGAGACAATACCTGGAGGCCAGTTGTAATTGCATGTAGGCCACAGGATAATTCCTGCAAGCCACTACAACCACCCGCAGACCGTGAGATAAGACCTGGAGGCCACGAGATAATACCTGGAGGCCACTACAACCACCCGCAGACCGGGAGAGAAAACCTGGAGACCACAAGACAATATCTGGAGGCCAGTTGTAATTGCATGTAGGCCACAGGATAATTCCTGGAAGCCACTACAACCACCTGCAGACCGTGAGATAAAACCTGGAGATCACGAGATAATACTTTGAGGTCACTAGAAACACCCGCAGACTGTAAGATAAAACCTGGAGGCCACGAGATAATACCTGGAGGCCACTAGAACCATCCGCAGACCGTGAGATAAGACCTGGAGACCACGAGGTAACACCCGGAGGCCACTAGAATCACCCGCAGACCGTGAGATAAGACCTGGAGGCCACGAGATAATACCCGGAGGCCACTAGAAACACCTGCAGACCGTGAGATAAATCCTGGAGACCACGAGGTAATACCCGGAGGCCACTAGAAACACCCGCAGACCGTGAGATAAATCCTGGAGACCACGAGGTAATTCCCGGAGGCCACTAGAATCACCCGCAGACCGTGAGATAAGACCTGGAGGCCACGAGGTAATACCCGGAGGCCACTAGAAACACCCGCAGACCGTGAGATAAATCCTGGAGACCACGAGGTAACACCCGGAGGCCACTAGAATCACCCGCAGACCGTGAGATAAGACCTGGAGGCCACGAGATAATACCCGGAGGCCACTAGAAACACCTGCAGACCGTGAGATAAATCCTGGAGACCACGAGGTAATACCCGGAGGCCACTAGAAACACCCGCAGACCGTGAGATAAATCCTGGAGACCACGAGGTAATTCCCGGAGGCCACTAGAACCACCCGCAAACCGTGAGATAAAACCTGGAGACCACAAGACAATATCTGGAGGCCAGTTGTAATTGCATGTAGGCCACAGGAAAATTCCTGGAAGCCACTACAACCACCGTAAGATAAAACCTGGAGAACACGAGATAATACTTGGAGACCACGAGATAATACCCGGCGGCCACTAGAAACACCCGCAGACCGTGAGATAAATCCTGGAGACCACGAGGTAATACCCGGAGGCCACTAGAACCACCCGCAGACCGTGAGATAAGACCTGGAGGCCACGAGATAATACTTGGAGGCCACTAGAACCACCCGCAGACCGTGAGATAAAACCTGGAGACCACAAGACAATATCTGGAGGCCAGTTGTAATTGCATGTAGGCCACAGGAAAATTCCTGGAAGCCACTACAACCACCGTAAGATAAAACCTGGAAAACACGAGATAATACTTGGAGACCACGAGATAATACCCGGAGGCCACTAGAAACACCCGCAGACCGTGAGATAAATCCTGGAGACCACGAGGTAATACCCGGAGGCCACTAGAACCACCCGCAGACCGTGAGATAAGACCTGGAGGCCACGAGATAATACTTGGAGGTCCCTAGAAACACCCGCAGACCATCAGATACAACCTGCAGACCACGAGAAAATACCTGGAGGCCACAAGAACCACCCGCAGACCGTAAGATAAACCTTGGAGAACCCGAGATAATACTTGGAGACCACGAGTTAATACCCGGAGGCCACTAGAAACACCCGCAGACCGTGAGATAAATCCTGGAGACCTCGAGGTAATACCCGGAGGCCACTAGAACCACCCGCAGACCGTGAGATAAGACCTGGAGGCCACGAGATAATACCTGGAGGCCACTAGAGCCATCCGCAGACCGTGAGATAAGACCTGGAGACCACGAGGTAATACCCGGAGACCGGGAGATAAAACATGGAAGCCACGAGATAATACATATAATACCGACAGGTCATGAGATGATACCTGATGGCCTACAGACCATGATATAATTCCTTAAGGTCACAAAATAAAATTTGGAGGCAAGTAGAGAAAGCTTGGAAAGCACAATATAATACCTGGAGGCAATGAGATAAAACTCAGAGATCACGTGACGATACCAGGAAGCCATGCGATAATGCCTGGATGCCACAGGATAATACTTGGAGACCACGAGATAATACCTGTTGGCAATGAATAACCAACCGAGGCCACAAAATAAATCCTTGAAGCCACGAGAACAAACCAGGAGGCCACAAGATAATACATATATCTCCCAGGTACTAGTACTAGTAATATCGACAGGCCATGCGATAATACCTCGAGACCTCCTTATAATACCTGAGGATCACCAGATAACACCGAGATATCAAAATATAATACCTAGAGGCCACAAGATGATACCCGGAGGCCAGTTGTAATTGCATGTAGGCCACAGGATAATTCCAGAAGACAACGAGGTAGTACCTGGAGGCCACGCCGTTATTAAAAAGGCCATGAGATAACACGGCTTTATATCACGAAATTAAGACGAGTCTTTAGGAACCACGATTTTTGTTACATTTTCGGTCACTGGAAAGTTTATATTTTTCAAAACATTTTTTCCATGAAATCCTGCATGTGTAGCGAACAATTAGTGTTTTTGATTGAAACATGATTATTGTAAGTTATTGCTTTAAAAAGATCAGCCCCTCTAGAATTGTCGGTCTTTTTTACCTTGAGAAATTAAGTCGTGACCTCGAGATATGATCTTGCAGCTTCTACTTGTAACATAGCCGGTACATTTCTATTTGTTTTCACCATATCTTCCAAAGTTCAATAGGACAATGAATAAGTATAAATATGATTATTAAATATTTTCATATCAAACTCAACATGTTACAATTTGCTTTTTGATAGCCCTAGGGTAGAGTGAGTGAGTGAGTTGAGTTTAACGCAGCTTTTAACAGTATTCCAGTTATATCACGGCATGTCAGCTTAATGTGGGAGGAAAGCCCGAAGTGGTGCAGGTCTCACGTTTACCACTTCGGTGAAACCCACGAGCACGGGCATGGTGCTGACAAACCTAGAAACATAATCGGGGCGAACCGGGATTCAAACCCACAATCATAGGTTTTTGTTGTGTCCAATTGACGCAACTCTGCACAGCGAATCGCGGCGCCTTAGACGACTGGGCCACCCGTAGCCCCCAGGAACAATGAATTATCTAGGGTGTATACAATAATCATGATAAAGATCCAACCTGGAAGGAGTATGTCATACATCTTTATACAAATTTCCAGACAGTCAGACAATAAATACTTACTTTTTTTTACGCAAATTGAATGAATGGCGGGTGCTTCCGGTAGGGCAGGACATGCTTACCCTTTTTTACCTCTTGCGACTCCCCGGAAAATATGTTTATGAGATTGCAATATTGTTTTCATGTCAATATATTTTTGCATGATCAATACTTGAATTTTACCTCGATGCCAGCGACCTGAGTGTAGATACAGTTGCATATAGCAACGTTACAGTGTAGATTCTTACACCCTCATCAAGCTGGGGTAACAACGACCAGGTGATGAGAGGTATGCTTGCATGACGTTTTGTGATAGCCGCAGATTAACATAGACATCAACAGGTAATAGATAACAAGTAGCATACAGATAATTGGAGTAAGCCAAATGTACAGTAAGAATATTAGCACACAGGTATAAGTAGCATACAGATAATTCGATGAAGCCAGTCCTATAAACAGTACCATAGCATTATCAGCAGCACAGTAATCTACTTACCACTGCGCGTTGCGTCGTTTGAGGTCTGTGCTCCTATAACGGTAGAGCCTGTCACGGTTGTAGATCATGTGAAGAAGGTGTATTGGTTTACTTCTAATCGCGTGACGCCTGTATTATGTATAGCCACTGTGGGTAGGCGGTCTCAAATCTACCCAATAGTCTTATTGCAGCTGACGTCTTGGCCCAGTGATTCAGGAAGTAACCCAAGCCCTGTTTTCCGACTCGTGCCTCTTTTCTAAGAAAGTCAACGCAGTGTATTTGAAATAGGGATTTTATCCCGTTCGTCTATATCCAGAAAAGAGTGTACACCGACACAATGTGTTTATGTATGGTGTATCTGTTTGCTCTGTTCATGCTACATGCAACATGGAGTCAGAGAGCTCCAACATGGGATGCGTGCCGATGCAGGTGGGTAGCATGGCAAGGATGGTCCACCTGTTCAAGACTCTGCTACGGGAGGCAGGTCAGAGAGAGACAGGTGTCGGTGGCTGACAGTTGTGGGACTTTTGAGCACTGTGATGGTGGCGCCGGCGCCTACGACTACAGGGACTGCAACACTCGCTGTACCTACGGTTCGTACGACTCCTCCTACGGCGGATGCAGGTGCCCGGCTGGGAGATATGGAACATGCTGTGATAATGGTAATGGTGCCAATCATCTGTCTTTGTATCAACCACCGTGCACCCATTGTCTACGGGCCCCTGAGTAGCATCCATGTGTATTTGATTGTTTCTTCCGTATCTGAAAAAGTGAATTTTATTTGATTCAATTGTTACCCGTTTGGAGAATGTTATGACGTATTTCAAAATTAACATACCTTTTTTTATTAGTTTAAAAAAATCAGTAATGGTACCCTAGGGTCACTTGATTTTCTGCTTACTCGGTCACTTGATTGTCTGGTTTTACCATCCTGTCGCATGGCACGAGTACTGCTGTGCTGCGTCAGACAATAAATCCTTACTTTTTTTACGCAAATTGAATTAATGACGGGTGCTTCCGGTAGGGCAGGACATGCTTACCCTTTTTGGAACACCTGGTGTCATGACTGATTTTGCCTTTTGCCACTGAAGTGGAATCTGTTTCGACAGAGAATCTAGGTTGGTTATTCTCTTGCATTGACTATTCAATTTGCCAATTACAGTGAAGTTATCGAAATGGTATATTGTTACTATGTGTTTTGTTTTCTTTATATGTCCATGCTGGGATGCAATTATACATGTATGCATGCTTTCATGCAGCGTGAGTGTCTGCATATTATAACTTTACCTCTTGCAGACAATGCGTTCGTGGCATTGCTACTTATCCATGTATTATTGACCTTTTTTATCAATTATTCACAGAAAGGGGCAGTTATAATCATAAATCTGTTTTTAATGTTTCATTTCAATATTCAGTTCATTCAATTGATATATTATGGAAAATATTTAACTTATGCAGCACATTATTCATATCATAATCAATTGTCCTTTCCCTTTATCGAATTTCTTACTCCAAGGAACGTCCGGATTAAGAGCCAGTATTGTGTCTCATATACGTCCTTGATTATGAATGCGTGCATGTTCCTATTGTTCAAATGAGCATGCGGATTGTCACGGTACCTTTTGATGCACGAACCTATCTTGTCATATCCATTACCTTTTCTGCACAATGGGACATATGTTAGTTTAGAATAAAACATAAGGGACCGACCATTAGTTACAAAATATCTGGTATTGAAGATGTAGCTGGAAAACATTACCCTCTATTCACCCCCAAACACGTACAGATACTTGGTGGGCTCGTTAAGCCTATCATTTCAAACCATTGTATATTTCTGTTTGTGTAAATATTAGCATAATACGATTCTCATTTCTGTAAAGTTATAACCTGTGGTACGCCACAAACAACGTCAAACGGTGCCGTCACAGTCAGCAACGGCAACAACTACGGCAGCGTGGCCACGTACACATGCACCAAAGGGTACAACATGACAGGGACTGCCACAATGACATGTTCCACCTCCAGCAGCTACTCCACGTATGGATTCTGGACGGGGTCTACGCCAAGGTGCCTGTGTAAGTCATCACTCGTTAATGATCATCTTCATGGTTTTGCGATCCTGGTTATTGGTATATTGCAGTTGTAATAAAGCATTGCTTGGCCACATGACACCTGTCCTTCAATATCTGAAAAAATGAATCTGATTTTATGCAATTGTTACTCGTTTGGGGAATGTTATGACGTAATTCAACATTAACATACCGTTTATATTAGTTTCAACAAAATCAGTAATAGTACTCTCGTGTCACATGATTTTCTGGTTACTAGATCACTTGATAGTCTGGTTTTACAGGCTGATGTCGAATGGCAGGAGTACTGCTCTGCTGCGAAATACTTAACTTTTTAAGAAAATTGTATGAATGGCTTACATGCTTACCCTTTTCGCGAACACCTGATGTCATCACTGATTTTCAGTGGTCCATTCATATAATTTCTACAGCTATTTGCCAAGTGGAATCTGTTTCGGCAGAGAATCTAGGTTGGTTATTCTCTTGCATTGACAATTTATATTTGGTCATTACATTGTAGTTATCGAAATGGTATATTGTTGCTATGTGTTTTGTTTTCTATATGTGTCCATGCTGGGATGTAATTATACATGTATGCATGATTTCATTGAGCGTGGGTGTCTGCATCTTATGACTTTAACTCTTGCAGTCTTTAACGTTCACGTCATAGCTAATGACACTTATCCATATATTATTGACCTTTTACAACAATTATCAACAGAAAGGGGCAGTTATAATCATAAATCTGTTTTTAATGTTTCATTTCAATATTCAGTTCATTCAATTGATATGTTATAGGCAATTGTACATATCCATATATTTTTGACCTTTCACAACAATTATCAACAGAAAGGAGTAGTTATAATCATAAATCTGATTTTAATGTTTCATTTCAATATTCAGTTCATTCAATTGATACATCATAGACAATTGTACATATCCATATATTATTGACCTTTTACAACAATTATCAACAGGAAGGAGTAGTTATAATCATAAATCTGATTTTAATGTTTCATTTCAATATTCAGTTCATTCAATTGATATATTATAGAAAAAGATTAACTTATCCAGGATATTGATCATATCATAATAAAACATGTCCTTAAACTTAACACATTTGTGGCTCACATTTTCCTTCATCGAATTTCTTACATCAAGGAAAGTCTGGACTCAGAGCCAGTATTGTGTAATATACGTCATATCCATTACCTTTTCTGCACAGTAGGATATTATTTTTATTCGATGATCGACCCTGAACAGGTTGTCCTAACATATTATCGATTAGTTAGAAACCAGGCCCAAACAGCCAATCAAACCGCTGCCCACTTGCACCAGGCCATAGAAGCTTAAGTTACTGACCAGGCGATAGGAAATCGTAAGAATGCAGTTAATCTGCATGCTCGACGATCACGTCTTGTACCACCGTTAACAAGTCGGCACATTCTAGCAAGACGCCAATTGGGGGTGGTTTTGTAATGATATGGGGGCGGGATCACTTTGACCACTATGATGAGAGCCAGAACGCCTCTGCATATTGCATATTGAAGGTTCACTGGACAGTACGACCGAGACAGCATACTGGCGCCAATAGATTTGCCGTTCGGCGCCAAGCTGGTCCACGTTTTGTCTTTCAACACGATAATCCACGTGCCCACCGTGCACGTATCGTTACTGACTACTTCCAGTAGCAAGTGAATGAACGAGTATGTCTGTACGCCGCTTTTAGCAATATTCCAGCAATATCACGGCGGGGCACACCAGAAACTGGCTTCACATATTGTGCCAATGTAGGGAATCGAACCCGGATCCTCAGCGTGACGAGTGAACGCTTTAACCACGAGGCTAACCAACCGCCCCTCCAGTAGCAAGACATCAACGACCCTCACAAGCCATGCGTCCTGACCGAGAGGACGTCTCGGTGTGATCGGGAGACATGTACGCCGTCGTCAAAGGTCACCCGTTCCTTCAGCTCAACTGGGTCAGGCGCTGCACGTCAAGTGGAAAAGTCTCCCTCAAATTGTCATTGGGAGATGTCCTTTATTGATCAAGTCTAAAACGTTTATTTTTTAACTACACACCCCTGTCGTCTTTTTTGATTGTTTGGCACCTTTACAATACACTGTCAACATGCTGTGTTTCTTGTCATGGGTTACACATCGTCCTCACCTTATTCTTATCCCTACAGACAGGCTCCCTGGTCTAGTGGTAGAACGTCCGCCCGGAGAACGGAAGGTCCAGGGTTCGATCCCCGGCCGCGTCATACCAAAAGACGTTAAAAGATGATACTTGTTGTTACCCTGCCTGGATAGACTTTAGGGGTTAAAACAAGGACTGGTCGGCTCGGAGTCAGTATACTGTGTCTGAGTGGGGTATCCATGTTAAACTGCGGTATCTCAGTGTGCTAGCACTATAAATTGGCATCAGTCCGGATTAGTACAAGCAGCCACACACACTCACGTGCACGTCGCTATAGTGCAAACTTGGACGCGACGTTAAACCCCATTCCACATCAGTTCCACATCATCCACCCATTACCATCATATCAGAATATGCCCTACTTTTTTGGAGAGTACATTTTGAAGCAGATGGATGCAGTCTTGACTTGCACTCGTTGAGGGGTCATGTCACGTCATGCAATAATCACTGTCACTGGTATGGTTAAGTGATAATAATTTAAGGTGTTTGTTTGTTTGACGGTCACATTTGTTTCTCCATCCAGTCGCTGAGTCCTGTAACAGCAGCCCCTGCCAGAACGGAGGCGCGTGTGTGAACGGTCTGGAGATGTACACGTGTGTGTGTTCGCCTGGGTGGTCGGGGGTCAACTGTGAAGCAGGTAGGAAAACCACCATGGCTGATCAAGCTAACAAATATACGGCCATCAAAAGCTGATAGCACCTCTAATCTGAAAATGCATGTTTATATCCTAAGTATACTCTTTAACAACACAATTGATGTAATTAGCAACGAAGATTGAGTACTTAGAGCTGTATCACCTGTAAATAATTTCTGACTTTTATATACCCCACAAACAGTTATCATACACACATTATTGGCTCATGGTTCCCCAGATGTGCAGCCCCCTATTATGAGTGGTTGCGAAGACAACGACACTCTCCACACAGCTGACCATGAGCTGACCCACAAGTGGACAGTGCCAGCCTTCACGGATCCCTTTGGTAACAACGTCGTCACGACGCCGAACTACGTCACCAACTCCTACCGCTTCCCCTGGGGCGACTTCTTCGTCCAATACGTGGCCACCAAACCAAACAACGGTTTACAGACGGAGTGCAAGTTTCAACTCAGCATTAGACGTAAGCAATACACAACCATACACCCGTACACACACACACACACACACACACACACACACACACACACACACACACACACACACGCACGCACGCACACACACACACGCACGCACACGCACGCACGCACACACATGCATACACATTCATACACACACACGCATTCACACGCGCGCGTGCACACAGACACACACACACACACACACACACACACACACACACACACACACACACACACACACACACACACACACACACCAAGGGTAACCACAGTTGGGAACTCGGCCGTCTATGGTGCCGAGTCTCGCTGTGCAGAGTGACGTCCTTTAGTCGTGCCAGGATTCGATGGTCGGAGTTTCGAATCCCAGATTCGCCCTGACTATGATCGTTTCTTTGGATTGTCAGCACTATATTCGTGCCTTTTGGTTTCAAACGTGATACCCATCTCAGACCAGCGAAATTTGGTATTTCCCGACACTGTAAGCTGACATGCTGTGATATTACAGAAACGCATAGTGGCATTAAACCCAGGACTATGTGTATGTAAATAATCATCAAGTGACGGCATTGCAGCTGACTTGGCAGACACAATCATGCAATGATGAGCAAGAATGAATGAGATCATTAGCAGGAGTCTAGGACATACTTACTCCTCGATACTCAGCTATCTGTTCTCATTTGTGTGCGACGGTTCATCGGCAGTATGCCAAAATAATATAAAGGACATGACGAATGCAGCAATAATTTATTTCATGTCCGTGAGGTCTTCAATTACACTACTGAACACCTTTCAATCTATCCTGACAGTTTATTGTTGTCAGTTGTATGGACATTATGATAATATTTATGGGTCTCACAATAACATGACGGCAGGGTTAGTCTAAATTGATATTCACGAAGCCATGTACCAGCTATATGACGCCGACTTGTAATTAGTCGTGTGTCTGGACAGTGATTTATTTTGTAAGCAGAGATCCACGTCGTATGTTGCCACTCGATTCATTCAGACGCCTGAATAGGTTGTTTGGGAACCTATTCTAACCTCACTACAGGTGCATTTTTTGTAATACTGCTACATAATAGCGTAGACAGACCCCAACAAATCTTACGGAACCCTATGGACTTAGAGTAAGGTGTTGCGGTAATATATGCATGGATAGTAAGGTGGTGCGGGAATATATGCATGGATAGTAAGGTGTTGCGGGAAGATATGCACGGATAGTAAGGTGTTGTGGGAACATATGCATGGATGGTGAGGTGACTTGGGAAATATATGCATGGATGGTAAAGTGCTGTGGGAAGATATGCACGGATAGTAAGGTGTTTTGGGAATATATGCATGGATAGTAAGGTGTTGCGGGAAGATATGCACGGATAGTAAGGTGTTGTGGGAATATATGCATGGATTGTGAGGTGACTTGGGAATATATGCATGGATGGTAAAGTGCTGTGGGAAGATATGCACGGACAGTAAGGTGCTGTGGGAATATATGCATGGATGATAAGGTGTTGTGGGAAGATCTGCAAGGATGGTGTTGTGACTTGAGAATATATGCACGGATAGTAAGGTGTTACGGGAACATATGAAGGGATGGTAAGGTGACGTTGGAAGATCTGCAAGGATGGTAAGGTGACTTGGAAATATATGCACGGATGGTAAGGTTATGTCGCAACTTTTAAAGACAGTCATCTTGGTATAAGCTGGGCACTGAGGAAGTGATGGGACAGATAATGTATCCAAATACCCTAAGTGGGATGATAAGTTAAAACATATATTGAAACCTTACAGGACCTTTTTCTGCAATAATTATACTATGCACACCCAATGCCAATTACTACATTTATATGAAAAAGATACGTTATGTCCCTCGCGGCATCATATCCGTGACGATTCCGTAAGAGGATTCCGTCTGTAAGGATTCCAACCCCAGCAACCTAAGCCTGTCGTATGAGGCCCTACATGGATTGGGTCAGGCTCGAAGCGCGATTTATGATGTCAACCACTGGATTGTCTAGTCCAGACTCTATTATTTTCAGCACGCATCCTGCGCTGTAATTTTGCTAAGTGCGCCGTTAAAAAACAAGTAAAAGTATCTAAACTACAGTTTCATTTTTACACCCATTTATATCATTGTTTTACGCAAATAATACATATTATGCTGATTAACGTGTATTTAAGTGAGAGAATATATCTTTAATTTCATATTTCTCCTATACAGCTTACCCATGTGATAACTTATCAGTGCCTGAGTTTGGGTACGTGGCTTGCAACGGTTGGCGACAAGACTTTGGACAGTATTGTTTGATTGGCTGCCTGGCTAACCGAACCCTACCACGTGACATCGATGGGAGCCAATGGTATGCGTGCGGAGCAGGTGGAACTTGGTCTTCAAACCCAGGAACGATCCAGTGTGAAGGTAATTGTTTTTTATGTTTTGAAAAACATGATACTTAAATGAGTGTTGATATATTTATGCATCCGCTCGTCACGCCGAAGACCTTGATATTGCTAGAACATTGCTTAAAGCGGCGTAAAACATACTCACACACTCAATGATGATATATTTTATTGTATTTTAACACTGGTGTGGCAAGTTCAGACAAAAATATTTTATATTTTTCCTTATACGTAACGTATCATCCATAATATATATCATTATTCAAAGAGATGTAGGGAGTTCAAAGAGTTCACATGTCACCACGAAACCCCGCGTTCGATTCCTAACGCGTACACACTTTGTGAAACCCATTTTTTGGTGATATCATATCATTATATAGTATTGCCAAAAGCGGCGTTAAGTCGTATTCACTCACTCAGCATATTTAATCATGTCTTCAGATCTGTATAAGGTTTGTGTTTGTTTTGTTCTGTTTTACGCCGACGTCGGCCTTTACATGATGACCAGAACAAATATAATACGTCAACGCCAGAGAATAACCAGTCTCGACTATCCGCCGAAACAGATTTCTTAAGGCGTAAAGGGCAAAATAGTGGGGAACATATGCTTGCATCACGGAGAGTCAATGATGACGCCAGGTGTCCGTGAAAAGGGCAAGCATGTCCTGCCCTACCGGCAGAACCCGCCACTCACACAATTTGTATAAAAAAACAGTGGTGGATATTATGAGCCCCACACCGTCGGGGCAAGCTACCACGCAGTCAAGTGTTGGGATCCCAGGAAATACCTGTACGATTATATAGGTTTAATGTTATGACGGTTATGATGTCTGTCTGTACCTGTGAACTCAAACTATTGTTGTGTTTGTAATGGATGTTGTAAAAAACTCAAAGCATGCATTTCTACGTAGATGAGGCTGACCCCATCGGTGCATCTAGTGGCATCCTCAGCAGTCCGGGTTCTTGTGATGACGTCAGTGCCATAAAAGAACAGTATATAGCAGCACTGAAGAAATCGGACTTTAACACCGCATGTCTCAAACATACTGACATGTGTGTACCTACTAACGTCAACATTCGATGTTGACGTCAATGGGACTTTCTAATGGTATGAGTTGCCGAAAGACTTGGCTACTTGCCCATATGTGGCAATGATGTGATATTAAATCCAATGTTCTTTAACATGTACTTTAAAGACCTCGATAATGAGTGAAGATTACATGATAGATACTGGGCTTGCTTTGATATTTTATCATAGCAAATATGCCGGTTTATCAGTTTCAACGATCGAAGTGTACATAAGCTCATGTTAAAACAGATCGGTCGTGATGATACACTATTAACAGACACTGATCATGTTCATTTCCAATCAATTTAAATCTCTGCTCTACCTTACAACATAATACAAAAACTGTTCTCACAAACACATGCTTAGTAGGTAGTCGAAAGCGGACTCTCTTGTAGCTGAGATCTCTTTAGGGAAATGGTTGTGTCGCTTTTATATTCATATCTATGATTATGATTATGATGATTATCATGTCAGAAGATCCTTGTGTTGCTATCATTGACACGAATGTATCTCATAACGTAATAAAAATGTCCAATACAAATCGACGTTTTTTATCACGTTGGCTCCAGTGTTACATCTGCCTCTGGTCATCCTCTTGCATGACCTAGTGAGGTGAGGTGAAATTGGGTTTAACGTCGCGTCCAAGATTATTGCACTTATATAGCGACGTGCATGCACGTGTATGTGTGTGTGTGGCTGCTTGTACTAGTCCGGACTGATGCCGATTTATAGTGCTAGCTCAATGAGATACCATGCCGCAGTTTAACATGAATACCCCACTCAGACACAGTATACTGACTCTGAGCCGACCAGTCCTTGTTTTAGCCCCTTAATGCCGAGCGCCAGACAGGGTAACAACAAGTTTAATCTTTTAACGTCTTCTTGTATGACGCGGCCCGGGATCGAACCCTGGACCTTCCGCTCTCCGGGCGGACGCTCTACCACAAGACCACGGAGGCGGTCTGCATGACCTAGTAGCCACGTGTGTTGGCATCATTCGTTTTAGTTTTGATGCATATAAACTGAAGGGCAAAATGAATCTTACCGAGTTTGTTCTTCATGTAGTTGTGAATTTAAAGAACATTTTTGCTGAATATGATTATGTCTATTTATCCATCACTCATTCCTGCAACGGATAGTTCATGCTATGCAATACACTAATTGCGTGTACGTATTTCCTCTACATGTGGCATATTCATTACGCGATATTTGAGACATGCCAACTCACCAACCCTCACACTTGAATGAACAAAACACTAATCTCGAGTTCATGAATAAGCTAATCATAAGCGTCACATGGTAAAAACTCAGAGCTTGACGACCAAATATTCCCCAGGGAGTAACCTCTTCCAGTCGGACAAAGAAACTTGTTATATTGGTGTAAGCAGGCAGCCAATCAGAACATCGCATTCTTCTTGGGATTCCCAACACGTCATGTAATAAGTGTTTGACATATATCATCAAGGACAATACTTTTCGGGTAATTGTGGCGGATAACATGGGCGAGTGAGCAGCCAATGACAGTCAATGACAGACTTGTATATAATCATCAAAATAACCATAGGTAACCCTTGACGTATCAATTTCTCTTGTCTGGCGTTCGTGTTTACCTTTGGAGCGGTCTATTGTTGTTCGCTCTAGACGTCTCTTTGTGGGTTTACATATATTTTATTTCTATTGTTTGTAATGTCAACAATTGACTCTTTAAGGAGGTACACGCGGATGCATTACAGTTAGAATAATATAACTCCCTCCGTCCAAACCCTTAAACCTGCTAATGGAAATAACCAATGTCTGTGCCAGGGGATATACATGTGTATTGTCAGCAGTATGATAATGTAAATGATAACATGAAGATCGCTATACACCATCTTCGTCATGTGACGATTGCAGATACCCAAGATATTTTACAGCAATATGATATGACTTCGACCGCCATAGCTTGGCCACAACTGTTTGTGTAGACACAAGTCAAGTCAAAGCGTTTCATTACGTCTTGGGCATCTACGTCATACTCAAGATCACACACACACACACACACACACACACACACACACACACACACACACACACACACACACACACACACACACACACACTCACACACACACTCACACACTCACACTCTCACACACTCACACACACACACTCTCACACACTCACACACACACACTCACACACACACTCTCACACACATACACACACTCACACACACACACACACTCACACACACACACACACACACACACACACTCTCACACACACACACACACACTCACTCACTCACACACACACACACACACACTCACACACACACACACTTACTCACTCACTATCTTAGAAGTGTGATTATTCTTCTTCGGAATAACGGCATCAGTGTTAAGAATACAAAGAGTTCACAAGAACAACGCTTATGAATACTGATCATATGTCTGAACCGTATTGGTTTATCTGTTTCAGCAACGTTTAAAACTCGTATATGAACCATGGTTTCGGCTATTTAGATTTGATTTCGTAATCGACATAATTAATCTTTCACCTTGTAGTAAGTTTATACTACTTTACGCCGTAGCCAGTATTACAGCTATTGAAGCGCGGACTGTAACTACTTGAGTCCAGGCAGACAATCACACAAGAAACGTTCAGTGGAATATCTCACAATCTAAGCATACATATGCGAGAAGTGAGTTTACCAGGGTATTGCGGACAAGGTGACATTGAACAGTGTATAAAATGGAGTGTCTTTGGCTTGTTTAAAGAGCATAGTACAAGGTCTCAAAACACATATACCAGCGATAAGGTGCACATTAAACTTGTTTGTCAGGAGAAAGCTCCTCAGAGACTGTTATAAACAAAGGCAACAGACAGTAAACAGTCCAACCAGGAAGTTCTGCTGAAGGGGGATTATTTGAAGTTCCCAGAACTCACGTGAGGTCTTCCAGGAAACTCAAAACCCTAAACAATATCTATGAATATGTTCAACTTGACACTATCAATCATAACATTCATACACTATCATACACTTTTCTGTAACATGAATTCTAGTATTTATCACTTCTAGGTATACACGCATTTGCCATAAATCACACAGCCATGTCACGGCTATTTTCGTGAAGACTTGTTCTGACATTCATTCGAGGAAGTTATGTTATCTGTTTGGAATCACGCGGCAACGTCCCAAGACATGTGTTTACCCTGAACTGCTTTGTCTGAAGTACCTCGTAACGCAGTGTCTTGATCCAGGAAAGGCTTCGGGTCCCGCCGTCAATCAACACCGTAGTACCGGTCGGTGAAGCGATTCGACACGCCCATCTTGCACCCTTATAGACTGGTGAGCATACCCGCCAGTCACATCAAAGGCGCTGTTGCTCCACAGTGGTAACATGGCGGCCAGGTACTGGCTTGGTGTCGTCATTTGCCTTGCTGTTGTATCCGAAAATAACTGTCAGGTACGTTATATTCTGTAATGAAACCCTGTTAATCCGTGCGGATTTTCCTCCAGGAATGTACTGATTAGGGAGGTGGATGTCGGATTAACGAGGTTTCACTGTATGATGCGAATGGTTTGCTCATATCCCTACGTCACACCATACTCGGGTGATCGGGTGTCTAACATGGCTGCTGCCATTGTGGTTAACGTCATGAGCCAACAATTTCATTTAACGACTGCGGCCTTATATTTATCGAACCTGGACCAGGGCCCTGTTCCACAAAGCGATCTTAGCGCTAAGGCTATCGCAACTCCATACTTTGACACAGATCTAAGATAAACGTAGCGTTAAAATCACTTTAAGGAACGGGACCCTGTGATTCACATTATGAGCATTATGAATGTCTGTCTGTTTGTTGTTTAACGCCGTACTCAGAAATATTCAAGCTCTATGACGGGGGTCTGAAAATTAATCGAGTATGGACCAGACAATCCAGTGATTGACATCATGAGCATCGATCCAGGTAATTGGGATACGATGATATGCATCAACCAGGTTAGCGAACCTGACCACCCGATCCCGTTAGTCGCCTCTTACGACAAGTATAGTCACCTTTTATGGCAAGCATGGGTTGCTGAAGACCTGTTCTACCCCGGATCTTCACGGGTATGTGAGCATTATGACCAATCAAGTCACCTAGCCTCAAATGGTATAGGCCGCTCGTGACCAATTCTAACCCAGAATCCCCACGAGGTGGTGACTTAGTCGTGCCAAAGGCAACGTCCGTTGGTATGTATTGAATCCAATATTCCTCCTGATTATAATCATTGGATTGTGAGCACAAAGTATTGTTCAAAGTGGCGTTACATCCACCTGACTCTGTTCCAGCGCACATGCAGTCTGACAGCTGGCCGTCTCCCCATCTCTGTCAAGTACTGCACTGATCCAGCAGGACACCAAATACCAGTCAACCAACACTCAAGTCTGGCCAGCCGCACTACATGCACAGTCACCTGCCTTGAGGATGCCAAGTTACGGTACCTGGTCTGTGATGACGGAATCTGGCATATGACACCAAATCTATGCAAAGGTTGTTGTTTTTTTGCAAATGCCAGTACGCCCCAGCTCGGATATCGGTTCTTATCATCGACAAATAAATGTCAGTCTGATGGAAACTCGAAAAGACATATGGTGTCCTATGACATATAGTGCGTGAATCATAAAACGGGTAAAGTGCTGGCAAAATTAGAAACATAATCAGGGCCAATCGGGTTGCTGATCATGAAACGCAAGTTGTACATAAAATGCGGATAACGCTAAGGACAAAACATATGTAGATAATATCAAGATCAAGATGACAAAGAAAAAAATTGATAGCAAATGGCCGTTGAATGTTTGTGACAACCATCCGTGTTTACAGGGCACCACCCAAACCGAAAAATGACAAGTGTCCATCAATAGCCTGTGTGGCCTTCGTTAGCTGCGATACAGGCCGCACATCGCCGTCTCATTGAGTCGACAATTTATTTAAGAAGGATTGAGGAATCCCGTTCCATTCCCGCACCAAAATGGCTTCCAGTTCCCGAAGTTTATGTGGCTGCTTTGCAGCCTGAAGACGTCTCCCAATCTCAAATGGCGCTATGTCCGGTGACAAAGACGGACAGGGCATCACAGGAATGTTATTCACTCTGAGAAAGTCTATAGAGACACGTGCTGTACGGGGACGAGCGTTGTCTTGCTGAAACACTTTGAGTTGAGGTTGACCCAGGAGGAGAGGTCTGACGTGATGACGAAGAACATCATCCCTATACAGGACAGCAGTAACACGCTGACGGATCACGTGTAGGTCCTGTGATGATGAATGAAGCCTCCCCACGCCATGATGATTCCTCCTCCTACCGGCCGGCCTGTAAGACACAGCAGTTAGCGTAACGCTCATTACGTCGTCTCCACATTCTGATACGGCATCGGCTTGAGAAAGGTTGAACCTTCATTCGTTTGAGAAGATAACTTGTTGCCATTGTTGACGTCGCCACCGCAGGTGCTGTTGGCCCCACTGCAGGCGGTGTTGGCGGTGACGTTGAGACGTAAGGACGACGACATCTGATTCCCGACGCTTTTTTAGACGACGACGAACTGTGTCGGCTGACACGGGATGACATGGGCCTTGAATGGTTGCAGCTGTCTGTGTTGCTTGTCTCTGTCGGCCACGCAGATGGGTCACCCAGATGTAATGGTCCTGTGCTGGAGGAGTGACCCTCAGCCGTCCAGAACGAGGCCGGTCTTGGACACTGCCAGTCTAATCATGCACATCTGGTGATGTGGACACGTGACATTCAAAGTGCCTCGCCACTACAGTTGAAGTTGATCCGACCTGTAGCATCCCAATGGCAACGCCCCTCTGGAGTTCAGTTTATCGAACCATGTTTCCTGTCCCTTTTCAAAGTCGACTGTGAAATGTTCGGTGTTTCTTATATGGTGGCTTAAAAAGGGTGAACAAGGGGTGAAATTTCGCCTTTTTGCATGTGATTTGCGCTGCACTTGCAAAAAACGTCAAAGGAGACGTTCCTGCCACGCGCTCAAAATAGATGATGTAAATAGTTAACACTGTATCTTCAATGCGTCTCTTTACGTTTGTATACATTTCTTTTCACAAATTACTTCTTTGTGCATTTCACAAACAAAAACATTACTTTTGCGGTTGAGTATTTACACAGTGATAAAAACACATATTCTAAAGCGCCAGTAGAGGCTCCAGTGTCAGATGATGAAGTATGTTTGCTGAATACCATATTTTTGTAACGTTGAATTTTAACTCACTCTTTGAGTCATCGTATATATACATAACCGATATCCACCACACGTGTATCACCACATTTTCCAAGGTCTGATTGACAAATTATGACCGTGGAATAATTATTGAAATATTCTTTTCCAGGTCAGACAGATCTCCAGGTGGTACCAAAGCGTCGTCCAAAACGTTGGTTCTGGGTAGCAGTTATATTCATCCCTTGGGGCTCAAGACAAGGCCCTCCTCCAGGTAATATAACACTTATTACACTCGTGGTGGTACAATAGATCGTCATTATGAGATATTCAGAGAGAGGGGGCATTTTCAATAATCTGATGGAACATTGGCCTGTTACCAAGAGTACATTTGAAGTTTGTTTGTAGCATCCATTCAGCGGTCATCAGCAATATCGTTCATGGCAGCCGATTAATTAAACAGAATGTCTTCGGGGGTACGGGTGGTCCCACCCTCTCATGCGCCGGCATTGACTTGCAGATTTGCGTCGCTTGGGCGTGCAAACAAATTCATCTATAATCATACGAATATGTCCACGAAGGAATCACGGTTTGTCCTGTCGTTAGTAAGCACCTTACACGGGCTCGCGGGTGTCACCGAAGCGGTAGACACGTGGTGTGTCATTAGAAACGTGTTAGAACATTTCTCTGTCCACTCCGCAGTGTACCCGACAGGATAGATGGTAACGTGGCTTTAAACCTTCTAGCACCTTAAATGGCAGCTTGGGTTTGTATACTCCCCAGGGCCTCAAGTGTCATTTTTCTGCACACTGATACCAAGAATGGGTTTATAAAAATGTAGCGCCATGTTAACTTGGTAAGTGGAATCTGACGAATTAGGGTTTACTGGGTGTCCGGCTGCGAGAGAGTCGAAGAGCAGAGAACAGCAGCTTGAAAGTAACTGTCAAGTCATACGGTGGTATTAAAGATTACTGTAACTGTTGATTGTGTCAACGCGCGTGTTGACGGGGAATTAGCTTTTGGACGAATCAAAGACAAAATCGACATCACTATCCCGGAACGTTTTATGAACAACAAATAAACAATAAACAACAAAATAGCGCTTGAACTCTGCCGTCATGTGGTACGAACTGCGTGGTATCGGTCCGTATGCGGTTAATTGTGCAATCATGCAGTATCACATTTGTATACACTACATTTCCTAAGTATCTTCACCTAGTTTCGCGAAGTTCTGCCAAAACCCTCCCGACACTAATGCGGCTCGCGCCACTTTTGTCCTTATCTTCAGATTATTGCTTCAATTTCAACATCGATACGGCCGAAATGTGACCTTGCTCATGTGACCTTAAATCTTAACTCATTCACTCATTTTCGAGATACCTTCGAGCTACAACCGAGGCACTTCGAGCTACTACCGAGCCACTTCGAGCTACTACCGAGGCACTTCGAGCTACAACCGATGCACTTCGAGCTACTACCGAGGCACTTCGAGCTACTACTGAGGCACTTCGAGCTACAAGTGAGGCACTTCGAGCTACTGCCGAGGCACTTCGAGCTACTACCGAGGCACTTCGAGCTACAACCGATGCACTTCGAGCTACTACTGAGGCACTTCGAGCTACTACCGAGGCACTTCGAGCTACTACTGAGGCACTTCGAGCTACTACCGATGCACTTCGAGCTATTTCCGTGGCACTTCGAGCTACTACCGAGGCTCTTCGAGCTATTACCGAGCCACTTCGAGCTAATACCGAGGCACTTCGAGCTACTACCGAGGCTCTTGGAGCTACTACCGAGGCACTTCGAGCTACTACCGAGGCACTTCGAGCTACCACCGAGGCACTTCGAGCTACTACCGAGGCACTTCGAGCTACTACCGAGGCACTTCGGGCTACAACCGAGGCACTTCGAGCTACTACCGATGCACTTCGAGCTACTACCGAGGCACTTCCAGCTACTACTGAGGCACTTCGAGCTACAAGTCAGGCACTTCGAGCTACTACCGAGGCACTTCCAGCTACTACTGAGGCACTTCGAGCTACAAGTCAGGCACTTCGAGCTACTACCGAGGCACTTCCAGCTACTACTGAGGCACTTCGAGCTACAAGTCAGGCACTTCGAGCTACAAGTGAGGCACTTCGAGCTACAACAGAGGCACTTCGAGCTACTACCGAGGCACTTCGAGCTACAACCGATGCACTTCGAGCTACTACCGAGGCACCTCGAGCTACTACCGAGGCACTTTGAGCTAATACCGAGGCACTTCGAGCTATTTCCGTGGCACTTTGAGCTTCTACCGAGGCCCTTCGAGCTTCTCCCGAGGCACTTCGAGCCACTACCGAGGCACTTCGAGCTACTACCGGGGCTCTTTGAGCTACTACCGAGGCACTTCGAGCTAGAACCGTGACACTTCGAGCGACTACAGAGGCACTTCGAGCTACTACTGAAGCACTGCGAGCTACAAGTGAAGCACTTCGAGCTACTACCGAGGCACTTCAAGCTACTAGCGAGCCACTTCAAGCTACAACCGATGCACTTCGAGCTACTACCGAGGCACTTCGAGCTACTACGGAGCCACTTCAAGCTACAACCGATGCACTTCGAGCTACTACCGAGGCACTTCGAGCTACTACCGAGGCACTTCGAGCTACAACCGATGCACTTCGAGCTACTACCGAGGCACTTCGAGCTACTACCGATGCACTTCGAGCTACTACCGAGGCACTTCGAGCTACAACCGAGGCACTTTGAGCTAAAAGCGAGGCACTTCGAGCTACTACCGAGGCACTTCGAGCTATTTCCGTGGCACTTCGAGCTTCTACCGAGGCACTTCGAGCTTCTCCCGAGGCACTTCGAGCCACTACCGAGGCACTTCGAGCTACTACCGAGGCTCTTCGAGCTACTACCGGGCCACTTCGAGCTACTACCGAGGCACTTCGAGCTACTACCGAGGCTCTTCGAGCTACTACCGAGGCACTTCGAGCTACAACCGAGGCACTTCGAGCTATAACCGAGGCACTTCGAGCTACTACTGAGGCACTTCGAGCTACTACTGAGGCATTTCGAGCTACAAGTGAAGCACTTCGAGTACTACCGAGGCATTTCGAGCTACTACCGAGGCACTTCGAGCTACTACCGAGGCACTTCGAGCTACTATCGAGGCACTTCGAGCTACCTCCGAGGCACTTCGAGCTACTTCCGCGGTACTTCGAGCTACTTCCGAGGCACTTCGAGCTACAACCGAGGTACTTCTGCGCCACCATCACTCCTTTATGACGCCGCTATTGCTTCACGATCACGCCACTTTGAACATACAGCTAGCTGATATCGCCAGACGTTCGCAATAACATTTCTCGACACAAGGGAAAACATTTATGAAGTGTATGTGACGTAATCTAGTTGCTCTGTCTCATGTCGGAGACTGCAGCAAGAGGCCCTAGAGACACATTGGGATAATTGGAACTCCCGACCCGTCACAGATCGGTCGCCGTAGACTGTTCCAGACCGCGGTAGATCACCACAGATTGATGTAGATTTTCTGTCCAAAACGTCAGCGCACGGTTACTAACTTGGTATTATTATACGTGAAATATGCATGAATAAAACATGCATGAAGAGAAGGAGTCAACTGCTTACTAGAGATATAATGTTCTTTGTTACGTTTGCAGACCGCTCTCCTCCTGTAGTTACCTGCCCCGTGGATATCCATACGTTCTCCGATCCCATCCAGACAAGTACCAAGGTCTACTGGAACGACGACGACGCGTCAGCCTACGACAGCAAAGATGGAGCTATTGCGTAAGACAAACTCTTATCGTTGTTGGTTCTCTCACACAAATTCCGTTTCTTTCTTTATTTACGTACTATTTGCTACACCTTGAAGTGGTTATCTATCAATGTTTCGAGACCAGGGACACTGATTATCACTGGTCACATGTGTTATATGTCAAGTTAGACACAATCATGTATGAACTTTTAGCGGTCATAAAGTTTCCGATTCTGATCCGAGGTCGGAAGCCTTGTCCTCATGGCAAAAATAGTTAATCCCTTTAGCAAGCTGACAAGGAAAGGATGTCATATGTGGGATGACTCCATGCCTTGCTACAAACCGACCCGTCAACAGAAGGGCACGTTCCGGGCCGCATATACATGTTTATATGAAGGGTACTGAGATTTACATTTTAAAATGTGCTATGAACTTGCTGAGCATCACGTTGGGCGCCCAAAAACTTTCCGAATGATGGGATTCGAACCACGTGCATTCTGATCCAAAGACAGATGCCATGGCCACATGACTACAGAGGCTGACGAGGTGAGGATGTCATCTGTCGGATGACTCCTAGCCCTGTTACAATCATAACTATTGAACGAAGATCATAGATACGTTTGTCCATGACACAGAGCCAAACGGGCGAGCAGAAAGCGGTCCGGCTACTTGTTTGGTGAAGGAAGGACATATATCACATACACAGCCAGAGACAGAGCAGGGAACATGGGGTCCTGTGTGATGACGGTCACTGTCACAAGTGAGTTCTACACATGCTTTCCAACAACTATCATCTGCAGTAATGAAGTTGAAAGTTGAATTGATCGGCACAGATCAACCATGCGCTATGAGTTGATATTTCTTAATTTTTAAGTAAATCCGAAAATCTTTGAATTTATAATTTATCCACCGGTTTACATGCAAAATAAGTGACTCGTGTAGTGGGTGCTGGATGGTTTAGGAATATCAAAAGTTGATCCCTATGTGTCGGGAGACCTCCACTTCTAGGACCTGCGTTCTGCAGGGTTATAACAGTATAAAAGACTTTGTGAGCCATAATCATTGTGGTATCAACGATCTCCAATGATTATTATTTTTCAACTCAGCTATCAGATGTTCGCCTGGGCCAAACAAGACCTTCAAGAACGGCTACTATGTCTGCCATCCTAGCGCCGACTTCGTCTATGGTACCAACTGCAACTACGGCTGTTACTATGGTTACAAGATAAAGGGTTCAAAGCACAGACATTGCAAGCAGAATGGCCAATGGTCAACTACGGTAGAGCCAGCTTGTGAAAGTAAGCGTCACGCCATTCATTGGCCTTGATGTTTGAAGAGTACATTTTCCATGACCTGTTAAAATAGTTCAATACTGTCCATGGTCCATTCTTACCAAAATTAGGGCAGATTATGTTATTAGCAAATGCAACAATTAGAAAGGCTTTTAGTTAAAATGCTTTCCAAGCTGCATCAGGAGGATACAATCATAAATGCTAAGTAGGAATCTTAAACATCACACGACGAAAATAAAATAGGGAATTAATTGTAAAACGGCGCCTCATAAACACAAAATTACCTGACCAAAAGAAAAGGCCCACCTGTCAGTCCATTTATGTTTAATATATCGACGTATGGTGTGAACCAAATACATATTTCGTATCCATGTGCCCTCATAAACTTCACATTTCAGCTGTCACGTGTCCACCTCAATCCCTTGCACCGGATGCCACGTTTACGTGCACTGATGGCACTAACTTCAAGAGTGCATGTTCCTACATGTGCAAACCCGGATATGACGTCAAACCCGGAAAGTCACGTGTCCGAGTTTGTGCATATGATGGTCAGTGGCGAGGTGCCATTCCGGAATGTGTAGGTGAGTGTGTGCGGAATACCATTTGACATAATAATATTCATAATATATAATATATATAATAAAATTTCTAATGCATGTTCTGGGATCGTTATTCAGAGGTAACAGTTGTAACGTATCTTACCTCGGAGTACACGTATTTTTGTGTACGTGTGTTTGTTGTGGAACGCCCCTCGGACTCATATTACAGCTCCAGTTATTTTCGTTCTTTTGTTGTTTATACGCCGCACTCAAATACCGTACGATGTTACCGCTATAAGACGGCGGTATGGAAGAAATCGAGTTTGGGCGAGACAATCATGAGCATCGATCCACGCAAATGGATAGAATGACATGCTATCAATCAAGCCAGCCACCCGTGAAATTCCGGGTAATCAGAGGTCTTCAGCAACCCATGCTTGCCGTAAAAGGCGACTATGTCGTTGGAGGCGACTAACGGTATCTGGTGGTCAGGCCGCTGAATTGGTTGATGTATGTCATCGTATCCCAATTGCATGTATCGATGCCCATGGATTGCTGGATTGCCTGGTCCAGACTCGATTATTTACCGACCGCCGTCATAAAGCTGGAACATTGCTGAGTGCGGCGTTAAACAACAAACAAACAAAGAATCCAGTCAGCGAGCCTGATCAGTCGTTCCATTTGGTCACATCTTATGGAATGCATAGGTTGCTGGGGATCTGTGCTCTTAGCCGAAATCCACACGGGTTATTGATATCACGAGCAACGATAAACGTCGTCAGGGTACGATGACACGTAATCACCGTTGCTGTTTACCACCAGAAATCCACAAGGGGTCATCTTTGTGTATGCTTCAGATTCGGAACCACCGAAGTTCACCAACTGCCCAAGCGTTAAGACGTATTTCACAGAAAGGAGCTCCTCCCTGGCGTTAGTGGACTGGGACGTCCCCGCTGTCACAGATAACAGTCGGGAGTCCATCACACCCATACAGACATCTGGCATATCTAACACAGACTACCATCCCGTGGGTGTATATGAAATAATTTACACAGCAGCGGACAGCGCCGGAAATAAGGCCAGGGAATGCAAGTTCAAGGTCGTTGTGAAAGGTAACACAGAACGGAGGCCATTGAAAGAAGGCTTCTCATAACCTTCCAAGACAATAAACACACGTTGTGAACAGTTTAATCCAGGGGCAAATGTTTGGTTCGGTAAGAATCCGGTTATGATATTAGGTAGAACACATCCCTTTGTTAATGGAAGAGTGTCTGTCGATGTCTGAAGTATTCCTCAGGATTGCTAACGAGTTCAGTGCCAACTATGAAAACAAGGAAAACAGGCGGGTGACCTTAACATTTTGTAAGCAAAATTTTTATTTTATTTTCATTTCTCTATAAAATAAAAAATACAGGCTTGTTTAAAATCATCATACACAGAAGTTTAGTTCATTAACGAATTACATGTATACACATATACCATAGAATGCCCATATCTTCAGAACTGAAGTGTTTCGCCCAGTACCCGCTCCCCTACATGAGAGTGGACTGTCCCGAGGGGTACCGGCACGGGTCTACATGCTCCTTCAGCTGTACTGGTAACTACGTCTTAGAAGGTGCAAAGGCCACCACGTGTGAATTAGCCAACTCTGATAATGGACTTGCCTACCCATACTGGCACATGTCTTCACAGCCCTCCTGCAGCTGTAAGTATACTTCGACATTTTAGAGGTAGTCATCGAGCTACTTAATCCCATAACAATGTATAAATTAGCGTGCAATCATAACCTTCTAAGTACTTATATCGCTGGTGTAATCTGCAAAAAAGGAAATCCATTAGGACGAATTGAGTTTAGTCGTGTTACTTTGGGTCTTCCCGCCTTTGTGTATCGCTTTATGACTACCTTTAATAAAAGGCTTATGGATGATGTCAACATTACCCCAATGACAAGGCTGGAACCTGTTAAACGTGATCTTGTTTGTCCACTTCGATCGGATGCAGATATTATATGTTGAAGGATATTTTATTTCTATGTATATTGGTAATTGATTTCATTATTTACATGGGCATCTTTTGAATTTTAGATTCGAATCTATACCATTTGTGTAAGCAATTATTACATTGGATGTTTACGAAATATGCTACACCGCACCGCACTGCACCGCACCGCACCCGCACCGCACCGCACCACACCCATGCTAAACATTTTAAGGATAGAGTTAGCCGATCCCCTTTCAGCTTCATCTGTTTATCCATGCATAAAGATTCAGAGTGGCAAAACACCCTCTGAAAGAGTGCATCACAATGGTCAGCTTCCCCTTCAACTCGAGGAATATTAAAGCACCACCCCCATTTGGCCTTCACAACTTTGAGGTCTTTCAAAGAAGATTGAAAATATATTGTGCCAAACAAGTACGAGTCATTGAACATGTTCATTCAGTCAGCTGACAGGGAGGCCATTCGTGACGTGTCATTCATAAGCAAATAAAAAACAAAGCGCCTGACCGAGAAATGATAACTTGATTGCAGTCTTCAACACCTGCCGAGAATTATCACCACCTACCAACGGAGCTCTGGCGTGTGACCTTTGGGAAGATGGAAATTTCTGTCAGATGCAGTGCATGAAGGGAACTGACCTCACAAGGTCTACAGCACATTTTGGACAATTAATGGTATGTGGGGAATCTGGAGACTGGAAGATTGGCCCCCTCCCTATTCAAGAACTACCAGCGTGTACAAGTGCGTATGTCATCGATCTGCCAATATCTTATCAATTTATGCATTACATTCTCCCTTGTCATCAATATACATTTGTCTTGACAATACGTTTATCAATCATTTCCTTTTTATGCTTATGGTTGTTTTAAGTTTTGAAGAAAAATATATCAGTTTGTCAACAAGTGAAACAGGTTTAAAGTATAACGTGCACATACTGAGGACCTTTGATTTTCTTAATACAGTGAATCTTGGTTGTCTCGAACTCAGACATGTCGAACAAACCCCGGTCTCGACACATTCTTGTTATAGTTGTCACTATTTTAACCAGGATGTGTCTTTGGACTTGTTGCTCTACAGTGTTTCACTTCAGTGTTTCATAAAGATAAATCCCAATGTATGTATCTGATGCCTGACTGATCCTCAACACTGATAGAAGATGTCCATGACCTGGTTGTCAGTGAATCGGCAAACGAGATATATATTCATATGACCCATTTACTGTAGATTCGTAATGGAAATCCGAATGGCAATATCATTTTATTCAGTGCACATGTAAGTGAATGCTGAGCCAGATTTGCTGGGAAGCAAACCTCAAAGAATAACAACGAAAAGGTTCTTAAGTCGGTAGAACCTCGTTGCTCTGACAATGAACATGAATAATGTCACTTGTAGTATTTCAGTATTAAATGCTATGTTATGTACAACGTTAACTTGATCTAATCAGCTCCGCAATCTAAAATAGTGTTTTAGATAGATTCCACATATGTATATAGGTCCCCACAAACCTTTGCTTGAGGTGAGAGGCGACAAAGCTGATAGGATGGTTCAGCTTAGCGAATTGATATCCCAGTTACGTGGACCGATGATATCAATCACTGGATTTTCTGGTCCATACTCTAATATGTACAGATCGCCGCCAATTAGGTGGAAACATTACTGAATGCGGCGTTAAACAGCAATAAAGACCAAACTTTGTAAGTGTCTATGTGATTTATTATTTACAGAGTCTCGCAGACCAACAGACACAATAATGTCAGTGCTGTTCTACTACGATGGTCCGTGCACGGAGGAAGCTGCCCAGAATCAAATAAAAACAAATTTCCTGAACGCATTCAAGGAAAGCCCTTTCAGCGAAACTCTCGGACAAACAGAGAGGACGATTGCCAATGTCAAGGTAAGCTGCATCACCATTTATTGAAGCATTCTCATATATATCTTTCTGAAGTGTTTCAATACCGGGTAGCTGTTCACTTTGACGTCAACTAGTCATAGCATTACGACACAAACGCACTAAGTTCCGCAATTGGCTGTTACCAAGGTGGTAAAACGCCTCTTATCTGCATCTCTTCTCAAACATTAAGCTTTCATACTGTGATATAACAGTTAATATTTGTCTGTCTCCCAATGTCTGGCACACACATATTCTGCCCGTAGGGATTCTTACACAAAAAATGGTTATCGTTCAAAGCGTCTTCATAGATAGGGTGGTCAGGCTCGGTGACTTTGTTGATAGCGTGTCAATGTACCCAACGCCGTGGATCATTGTTGATGCATGTCATCGTTTCCCAATTGCGTGGATCGATGCTCATGATGTCATTCACTGGTTTATCTGGACCAGACTCGATTACCTTCAGGCGGACGTCATGTAACTGGTCTAGTGATGAGTGCGGCGTTACACAACATACAAAGTTGTCATATCTTCTGTTACATGTTGTTTTGTACGTTTTTTTCTCACGTTCTCCCAATGAAAGGTGACCTGTGGCTCTTCTGATAATGGAAGAAGAAAGCGAGAAACTCGTGTGCCAGTGAAAGTTGACATCCTCCTTTCCCTCGATGGCGACCTGTCCAGAGAAACCTTCAAGGATGCTGAGAAGACTCTTCTGAACCTTCATAACCATATTACCGAGGACATAAAGGGCAACAACTCCAAGCTGTTTCAACACCTCGATCAGAAAGTCCGATCTGAGATGGAGATAGAAAGGCCAACAATTGAGCTGGATTGCCCGCTTGATACCTTCCCATCGTACAACACATACAGCTGTGGTAAGTACATAAAGGTTAAGTCTATTTAAGATAGAGGTGAATGAATTGGAGAATCGGACGATTTGTATATCCCATCGACAAAGGGAACATAGAGCTATTGGGTTATAAGAAATCTTTTTTTTCTTAGCATATCTGTTGTAAAAGTGATGTTTGTTATTTCTACAACTACATTTGATTTGCCTTTGCATGTGTTTATGACGGGTACCACCAGTGAGGCAATTTAGCGAAAACCTGGTATCATCACTATTTAATATTGATTCATAAACACATGCTCATGATATTGCCGGAATCGTACAATGGACTTGTGATTTCTTATCATTATGGTAACATAATGGTTTTCTTTCTTTTTTCACTGGAGGCAAAGTTTTCTTTTCTTATTCCAATTCCAAACCGTAAACGTAGAAAGTTACAAAGTCATTGGCGCACATTCAAAGCTTCTAAACCCTGCAGCCTTTCCTGGAAGTGCATTGTTGGGCGTCATGGCAGGAATGAAACATATCTAAAAGAATGAAGAACGAATTTAGCATCTCCAAATTAGTTTTTCACGATTATAGTTGGGCCAATTTTGTGGTTTTACTCACTCTTCAGCAGCTTTTACATATTTACATTTTGATTGACAGCCGATGCATGCACCATTGATAGATCTGTATATCATACGATATGTTTCTAAGTGCCTTTCCTCTAATTGCAGTTGGATGCGGAGAAGGTCTGTACCACTCAGAGGGAGACAACAGCTGCAAGGAGTGTCCTATTGGAACCTACCAACCCGAGGCTGAAGGTCGTGGCTGTATCCAGTGCCCTGATGGAAGAACAACTTTGCAAAATAAAACTACAACTGTTGAAAGATGTCTTCGTAAGCCATCACAAGACTTCTGAAATCTTGACTAAACATACTGTCAAAGAGTAAATGAGCATGGTAACAACTTTGGTGAAACCCACGAACACGGGAATGGCGCTGACAAACTTAGAAACATAATCAAGGGAACCAAGATTCGTACCCACCATCATGTATGTGTCTGGCGTGCCTATGGGACACATCTGAAACGACTTGGCAACCCGGGTCCCCTTGCGTAAAAACAAAACTACACCAGTATTATTAAAAATTAAGAACGGTATTTATTTATTCCTTTTGTGTTTCAGCCATGTGTCAACTTGGGCATTTCTCGGAAAACGGTGTTGAGCCTTGCACTCCGTGCAGTCAAGGACATTATGCAGACAACGTGGGTTCTACAGAGTGCACAGCCTGCTCGGGCGTCATGACGACAGTGTCTCAAGGCTCAGATAGTGTCACCTCCTGTAGACGTACGTAATGCATATCTCTATACTTTTATACTCATAGGTAAGAGTAATAGTGACCCAATTATATCTATGATGGTTTATTTGGCTATTGAGTATACAACAATCTTTCAAACAGTACTAAGTCTTTATGCTTGATGTAAGTGAATGCCGACTGGTGTGATGAATGGACAGTACTCGCCTTAAGGAGGTGAGTATTCCGATTCCGGAAATGTCTAGTAACACCTGCAAATATACAAACACATAATGTGTATCGACATATACAATACAGAAGTTATCACTTAGTTCCATGTCATTCTCTGTCTACTACTACTTGAACACGATGTCACTATGGAAAGCTGTAACGTCATGCTGAAATGGGAAATTAACATTAGTCTTTACTGAGAACGGAAACTGCCTGGTGAACTAAATCGAACTTAATCAGACTTAATATTAAACATTGTTGTATTTCATTTCGTCAATTTGAAGGACAAGGACTTTATTTAAATAAATCGTTCGCCGGACATGATTGATGTCCTAAATTGTTTTTTTGCATCACATAAATTGCGTGTCATAAAAAAGCGACTACAAACTATCATTTTGGTTGGTTGGTATTTTTTTTCCACAGAGTTTGACGTGGCTGTGTCTAGTTCTCAAAACGCCAGTGTTCAGCTGGAAGTCGCCACAAAAGAGTTTGATATTCAAAGCGGATTTGAACTTCGTTTTTGGCTGGTGTATGATTCAGCAGGAGACGTCATATCTCTGACATCTGGAGATAAGCAAACTAGTATTCTGTCCATCTCCATGACAACAACTTCTGAAATGCAGCTACGTGTAAAAGGGTAAGTAGCCCTGAGATCAAACAAAATTGACGGGAAATGGAACGGTAAATGCGATAGTATGTGAGTTTGGTTTACACCAGCAATATCAAGGCGGGAGTTACAAGATATGGGATTCTTAACCAAGAGAATACCCCATCGTCACAAACAGTAAATGAAATGCGTTCTGGTTTTGGATACAAATGTTATCATATTGCGTTTTGCAATTTAATACAGTAAACCAGCGTTAGGCTTGACCCCGTCCTTCCGGAGACCCCGCCTTTCAGAAGATTACTGTCGCGAACGTATCCCAATCCAACACGTTTTGTTTGTTTGTTTACGCCGCTCTCAGCACTATTCCAGCTTTATGACGGCCGTCTGTAAATAATCTGGACCAGACAATCCAGTGACTGATACCATACGCATCGATCCACACCATTCGGATACGATGACATGCATCAACAAAGTCAGCGAGCCAGACCACCCGATCCCGTTAGTCGCCTCTTACGACAAGCATAGTCACCTTTTAGGCAGGGGTTGCTGAAGACCCTCTCTAACCCGGATCTTCACGGGTCTATATATGTTACTAACGGGTCATTACTACAAACTAATTTGTTGATCCTTAAACCTGTTCGTCTGGACGATTTCACTGGTAGCTGATTCATGGGATTTCAATTGATTAAATTTCATAGATGAATCATACAATGTTATGTTATATGTTATTTTTATCATAATTCTACAAATTTTAAAGTGTCTTACAAAGTTATAAAAAGAGAAGGTTATTTGACGAATCTATAAAGGGTGCAATGGTTATTGTCCCTAAAATAACACATGATCTATGCATGTCAGAGAGATGTATGGAAGACTTCGAATTACTTACTGGGTTTTGTTTCATTTGAACACATGAAAAATAAAAAAAAATAAAAATCGTGGTATTTGTTTAACAGGACAGTGCTCGATGTGGCGGTCCTGAACACAAGCCGATGGTATCAGATAAATATCAACTACATCAACAATACACTCTCCATCAGTGTAAACGAGGTCCAGCGTCTCACGCACGCTGTATCTTTTGACGCTTATGATGGCCAATCTATTCTGGTTTCCATGGGAGGTTAGCCCCTTCTTGTTATTTCATGTTTATATTTTAAATGGATTAAACATATATGTATACACACATCAATAAAGAAAGGAAAATGACGAGAAACCTATTCGTACATGTTTGGAATAAGTTGACCACTTGCTGTTGGACGACATGTACTGTCAGCGAGACTCTAAATTCCTGGTGAACTTCAGATGCAAATCAAGGGACTGAGGCCAGAAATCTGAAATAATGATAAAATAATGAAATTGTATGCCCTTTTCACAACCACCCCTGTCTATATATAAACCAGAAGTGAAATGCAATCTCTCAAAATTTCACGCATCAATCCAATTTATCAAGTCGAAAAATCAAAGCAAACTTTTGTTTACAGCCACTGGTTTCAGTATGAATGTGACTTTACGTCCGCTCCTTAAACCAACTCCATACCGCCTTTTGGTCTTCATTGCACAATGTTTTGCTCGCGACTCGTAATTGTCCATCATTTTCAGGGATCCGTTCACATAATTTTCACTGCTATTTTGCTTTCTACACCCATTGGAATCTACTCGGGGGATAATCGAGGCAGGTCATTCTCCGGCTTTGACGTTTTATATTTAGTTAATGTAAGGTCATTACTTTCACACTAAATGTATGGCTAAGGATAATTGAGGCAGGTTATTCTCTGGCTTTGGCGTTTTATATTTAGGTAATGTAAGTTCATTACTTTCACACGTGTGGTTAGAACATGACTGAACTGTAACAATAGACGTGATCGGGATGCCCACAGGTGCTGGCTTTGAGGGCAGTGTATCCCATGTGAACATGTGGCGTTCCCCCCAGACAGTTCCGTCACCAACGTCACACACTTGCTTCACGGGCAGCCTCGGGGACGTCTTCAACTGGAAAGACTTCACTTCAGCAAACCTCTCAGATTCGTTTATACAGATCCCCAGTGAATGTGACGGTATGGTTTTCAGAATGCTATTGAGAAATATTTTTTAAAGAACATGCTTCTTTGATAAAACTGCAAAACTGCAAATCGTTTCGATTTGAGGACTGTGAGGGTGTTGTAAGCAGAGTGGCTTGTCCAACCCTGGTTTAAAGGTATCATTGGACTATAGTGAAGTTGATTTGGCCGTACTTTTACCATTCGATACCCGTTTTTATTCGTGACGCTCCAGTGTTTTAACCAGTACAATACTTAACTGACCTTACTACTGGATAATAGAGAGTAGGTTTGGCACGTGCTGCCCAGTGGGGTGAGGTTCCGCAATTCACTGTGCAGAGTTGCGTCCCTTAGGCGTGCCAGAATCCCATTTGGTGAAATCGAATCCCAAGTTCGCCTTATTGTTCCCCTTGTCAGGTCACTCGTGCTCACTTTGCGCTCCTCTCTCACATAAGCTTAAACGCTGTGATACATTTAAAATACATCTCAAAAGCGACGATGATCCTAACTCTTATTTGCGAAGCGAAGTTAAATCTAACACACTCACTCGCCGACAGCAGTAGGATGCGTCATGAGAACATTCAAAATCCTGGGGGAACGCGTCGTCGTCTAAGGCGCCGCAATTCGCAATGTGCCAGGCAGGGTATCAACAAGTTCCATATTTTACCGTCTTTTGGTATGACGCGGCCGGGGATCGACCCCCGGACCTCTCGCTCTCCGGGCGGACGCTCTACCACTAGACCACGGAGTAGAACTGTGTAATTTGATCGGACGGCTATTTTTAGCGTCGTGCCAGGGAGGCGGACTCAAAACGAAGCTAATGCGTCCATGATATTTATCATAATAGAATGGAGATATAATACACTGGATAATCGAGGACTATACATATATATGATCTAACGTGAACCTACGGTTCTGTATTTCACAGACACAGATGAATGCCTATCCTCACCGTGTATCCATGGAGATTGTAACGATGATCTGAACGGCTACACCTGTTCCTGTGAAGATGGTTACCACGGCGACAACTGTGACGTCAATATGGATGACTGTCTGGAGAACGAGTGTACTAACGGGGGCACGTGTGTAGATGGTGTGGCAGAATACACGTGCAGGTGTACACCCGAGTACACGGGACAATACTGTGATGCTAATTTAGGTAAGTCTGTAATCACATTTTCGTGGGAACCCTTGAGGATTCCGGGTACAACCGTAGATCTTCAGTAACCTTTGCTTGTAAAAAGCAATAAAATAATCCGTGGGGTCAATCTCGGTTACTTCTTTGAATGTGTGCCAGCATATCGAAATTCCGTAAACCGATGTCAATCACAGGTTTGCCTGGTCCGGACTCGATTATATACAGGCTGCCGTTGGAACATTGCTGCGTGCATCCTCAAACAACAAAAAACCAAATAAACAAACTGTGCATATTCTGCTTACCATCACTGTAAACTGGTTCACATGTCTTGAAGATATTTCTTGTTGGAAAGTGTGTACCAACCTTTTCTAGTTCACGGACACTGGACCGCATGGGGTAACTGGACAGAGTGTTCTACGTCATGTGGACCAGGGGAGAGAACTCGCGCCAGACGTTGTGACAACCCACAACCACAGAATGGCGGAGACGACTGCGAGGGTTCAGAGACAGAGGTCGGGGCCTGCGATACAGGAGAATGTCCAGGTATATGATGTGCCTCACTGGCAAATGACCTTTTACTGCCTTGACTCCATAGAAAGAGATGACGTAACTGATAAAATATGAATAACTGTCCGTTTAAAGATTCTTTGCATAATCCCGCACCCGTTGTGAATAAGGGGAAATAATAATGGTTTCAAACAACTTATGCTTGTCAAAAACTAAATGGATCGAGTGGTCAAGTTCGGTGACTTGTTGATAACACGCCATCGTACCTGGACCGCATGGATCGTTGCTTGCTCTCCTTCACTGGTGGCAGTATTATAACTGGAATAGTGATATGGGCAGCGTCAAACAACAAACAAATGATAGATTACATTTCAGCAATTCCTCAAATTTCTGTTTTTAAAAAAAAAAATTAAAAAATTATTCTAATTATTTATTTATTTATTTTTTATTTTTATTTATTCATTTATTTTTTTATTTAAAAAAAAAAATTCGGGGGGGGGGGGGGGGGGGGGGGGGGGGAATAAATGCCAGCTCGAACAGCTATCAAAATGCTGATATGGTTTATTCACTCTTCAAAGCTGCTGTGTGATGTGATGTGGTTTTGTTGAGACATCTGCTGATTCGTTTTGTGTCACAATCTACAGAATGTTCAAAAGTAAGTCCCCCTGAGCACGGCGATCTGGAATGCACGGATGTCAACAGTACAAGACTGTGTCAGCTGAAATGTGAAGACGGCTATGACTTCGACCGATCCCCACTGTCTGTGTATAAGTGTGGGCTGGAGACGGGATACGAATGGAGCTATGTTACCGAGGACAACCCACAGGGACGATTCCCCAATTGTATTGGTAGGTTTGCAAGCTGAGATGAGTGAGTGAGTTAGGTTTACGCCGCTTTTAGCAATTTTTCAGCACTATAAATTGGCTTCACACATTGTACAAATGCTGGGAATCGAATCCGGACCTTCTGCAAGAAGAGCAAACTCTTTTAACCACAAGGCTATCCCACCGCCCTGTTAATGGATGTGAATTGCAGAAGTAAGAAAACAATCATGATAATTTGTTGGATGGGCTTGAACTGTGAAATGTGGTCATGCGATTTGTGCAATAATGGCTCACGTATTGCGCTCTTTTTGTTGTGATTGTAAGCGATTGTAAGCGAATATCACACACTGTTTATGTAATTTGGGATGATATAAATCCTGCCGGGGTCCATGCAGGAAACAAAGGCACTGTAAGTCCCCATGGTCCCTAGTATGGTGATCTGCCTTTACTTACTAACGGTCTCTGGCCCATTTTTATATTGTGTTGTTAATTCTTTCTGCTTTTAAATGTTTCTCAACTTGTTTTAAATAGACTCTGTGATATTCTAGTTTTTGTACTGTCCTTTGATGACAGTTTTTTTTTATAAATTCTACATATATGTGTTATTAATGTATTACTTCTCGTCATGATATAGCTGAACTATTGCCGATGTGACGTTAAATATTAACTCACACTCACACTAATACATTCACATGTCATTCTGGGGGCTCAGTCGGATATGGAAAGGTAGTAAGTGATCTACCTACAGGGCAAAGGTATCAGTGAAGGTCTTTCGAAAAGTATGTTTACTGTACAGGTAGTGCTTGTGTTATTTGAATATTAATGTATAACAGATTATGACAATCTTATGATATCAGTAGTATGGTGACGTATCTACATTACCATATCCTATATTTCGTTGATAAACTGAATTCAACCTGGCAACATATTATCTGGTTAATAGCCTTTTGGAATGTTCTTGATAAACTTGACATTCATTCTCACCGTCATATAGTCAAAAGCATATTATGTTCAAACTTCAAGACGTGTTTATTGCATCGGAATGGGATTAGATCAATTACAAATATTCAGACACATTGGTTTAAGTAAAAGAAGCATCTTGTTTTGCAGCTGAAAAATATCTAATCCCAATAGAAGACCGTCCCTCCCCCCCAAAAACTAAATACACTTAAAATGACTTTGGTATTCCTTTGCAGCGATAGAGGATCCGGATGAATTAGAGGTAAAATTCGAGGAAGAGTATGAAGACCTGGAATGCATTGATGACAATGAGGCTGACCGGAAGTCAAAGGTGTTACTGCGCGCCAGAGAAGAAGCCAAGGCTCTGCCTTGCATCAAAGATAACACGTGTTACATCAAAGACATACGTACGTCTACTTGTGATGCTGAACAGCGTCAGAAGAGGGAAATTACCCACATGGGATTTGTTATAACGCTTGGGACAAGTCCAGCTCAAAGTAAGTTCCTAATTACATTAAACCTCTGGCTATCACACAGGGTTTAGTTCTTGCATAACACAAGTGAGTGAGCTGCTTTGAACAGTATATCAGTTATACTACAGTGTGTCAGATTGATGTGGGCGAAGAGACCGAAGTGATGAAGTTCTGAGATGTTTACCACTTTGTAGAAATCCACGATTGGTGTTGACTAACCTACAAAGTCAGGGAGAATTATGGATTTTTGGCACGCCTAAGGATCGCAACTCCGACTAGTCAGACGACTAGCCCCAAACGCTCACCCACCGTATTTTAAAACGTTTTATACAAATATATATTACTTTTGCCGATAGACATGTCACATGACGAGATATCTGTACACGACAGAGGGTCTACAAAGCAGTCTGGAGGGACTCAACACAGCCCTTCTTCAACTGAACTCCTCCGCAATAGCAGGGGACTTCACCGTGAAGATAGATGGCGTGGACTACCTACTGACAGGCGCCCCTGTTGTTTCTGGCAGCGTCACATGCAGTGTGGGATGGACCAGGGTTGACTTCTATTGCAGTGAGTTTTGTTATTGTTACGTTTGAAAGTTGGATTTGCTTCACTTCTTGAGCTTCTTTGACAATAATTTAGGCTGATCTGGCTTGAAAGGCCATGTGAGGTAATGTCTTCCTTCGTTCGTCGTTGGCGTCCATAAACTTTCTAAATGGACTTCTCCGAAACGACTGCAGATACAGCTGAAATATTGTGTTACATTATTGTGTTACACTAAGCCAATTTCAATATTGCCGTCAGGAAGCCATCTTGAATGTAAAAATATAGGCATGGTTTCCCGATACCTTGGGTCCGTATAAGCGGGATTGCACTGAATATACATTTCAAATACAACATGTCTTCGTTGGTATTTTAACTGTTGACAAACCACCGTGTCGTGACAGATAATGTAAATGAAATTTGATTCACATTTTACGCATTATAGATAGTTCTGTATTAGTCAGAATCGGAAGTTTCTGTAGTACATGTATTTTTCCTTACGTTATTTGCTCATGATGCAAGGTATTATTGATATACTATGCATACATCACTTTCACTTGTAAACAAGTATATTCATTTTCACCTAATCTGGAAAGTACGTTTAATCTCCGTCGATCCGAATTGAGAAAATAACAAGACAACGGTTGATGGGTAAAAAATAATTGCCCAGAAAACAGAGCCCGCACAAACAAGGTTTCCAGACTGCCAGAGTCCACATTAACAAGGTTTCCTGTCTGACAGGGTCCACACTAACAAGTTTTCCAGACTAATTGGGACCTCACTCACAAGGTTTCGGTTTGATTGGGTCCACAGGAACAAGGTTTCCGGTCGGAAGGGGTCCGCACGAACAATATTTCCAGACTGACGAAGGCCGTACTAATAAGGTTTCGGGTCTGAAGGGGTCCGCACTAACCAGATTTGCAACCTGACGAGATCTGTACCAATAAGGTTTCTGGTCTGACGGGGTCCTCACTAACAGGGTTTCCGATTTGACGGGTTCCTCAATAGCAAAGTTTTCGGACTGACGGAGACCGCACTAACAATGTTTCTGGACCGGACTGATGGGGTCCTCACTGACAATGTATCTGGACTGGCGGGGACCGCACTAACAAGTTTTCTGGACTGACGGATCCCGTACTAGAAAGGTTTCCGGTCTGACGGTGTCCGCACTAACATTTTTTTTCCGGTCTGATATTGTCCATTCTGGAGGCGACTAACGGGATCGGATGGTCAGGTTAAGGACTTGGTTGATGCATGTCATCGTATCCCAATTGCGTGGATCGATGCTCATGATATCAATCACTGGATTGTCTGGTCCTGACTCGATTATTTACAGACCGCTGCCATGTAGCTGGACTATTACTCAGTACAACAATTGCGTTAAACAACAACACAAAAACAAAAAAGGTTTCCCGATCTGACGGGAACTGTACTAACAAGGTTTCCGAGGTCCTAACCAAAACGAAAATGTACCCTGTGAACAGAACATAACTTTATTCAAAGAACACAATTTAATATTTTTTTAATTTTAGTTCCTTGTGGTCCTGGAACCTTCTACATCAACGGCTACTGTGAACGATGTGACATCGGCCGCTATGGCAACGTCACGGGGGCGACATTCTGTCATGCATGTCCGAAGGGCAAGTCCACACCTGGGAGGTCTTCCTTGAGTATCGAGGAATGCACAGGTACAATGTAACACAACAGTTCAACGTCAATACTTTACAAGATTGTATTCGTTATCATCCGTGGATACATTGGGCTGATAGACTGTGTAGTAATGACGCGTGTCTATTATAATTCAAGTAATGAAATGAGTTGTGTATGTGTCACGGAAATCAAATGATTCCTGCCCCGTGTGTGAAATATATGCGAATCCTACCATTGCCTGATATTAATGTGGCACATGTTGCACAAAAATATGACCGTGAGATGTTACATGAGCGTTCATTGGTCAGGGCTCTCATTGGTCAGAGCGCTCATTGGTCAAAGTGCTCATTGGTCAAAGTGCTCATTGGTCAAGGCGCTCGCTGGCTCCCTCTCACTGGAACTGGACTCTGGTTTGATTCGTTGGTAAAAATAGCGTCGACACTTTAAAGAGATATATGTATCCAAAGGGGAATGGAAAAACGTAGTGTATACTAGACCTCGAAGTCTTGACCACGACAGGTGAGGATGACATACTTCATGACCATTTCTTTCACTGCCCGTTTTATGAATCCTTTTGTGTTAACTTCTCTAAACATAATAAATATTGAGCCATTATACATGCTTATATGTGGATTCTATGAACTGTACAATGGTGTTGATTATATCTTGTTATGTGTTTCAGTTGATGTGCATCTTCCGAAAGGTAACGTGAATACTATAAAATTTAACAAATAGGAACACAATTCCCAACGTAAGCAGGTAACCCAGGAAAGATTCCCGCTGAAAAGCAGTATTGTCTTAAACCAAAGTTTTAAATTGGAAGCAAGTTATATTGTTGCTAGCAGTAGCAAAAGAACCATGTCACAAAGCTTCCCCACAACCACGGCCATACGGTAAGTGGAGCATAGAAGCCCAGCTTGCCTTGATAGGGCAAAGAAACAATGACCTTGGGGACACCATCCTCCCATTAGTGCAAATCAAGAGCCAGGGCACGCAATAATTTGTCCGTAACGCACACAGTCCTTATTTGCTGAGGTGGACGCCCTCCACGCCCTACCATGTCCCCGTCTTATGCCAGAATCTGGGGATGTGGCACTATTGTTCCGCCAATCTCTTTCACACGGTTGGCAAGCCGGTTAATGTTCTTCCGCATCCCCTGGATCCTGATTGGATCTCTCGCACCCTGCCAGTAGCGCCTGGGCAGCATTGTGGATATAGTGTGGATCCCGTGGATCCTGGTGTCGGGAGGTTGTATCTAAAGGATTGAGGCCACCGTGTCAAGGTAGAGTTGGCTGCCCTTCACTGTGCACGGGTCGTTTGAATGATGAGGGCTCTGGTGCTGCGCCGTGGCGCCTTGACATGTGCATCAAGAATGGTGTCCAGCTCCTTCCACCTCATTCCACCGCGCGCCAGCCATAGCATCCTCGCTCGTTCCTAATTGACCTTAGCATATTCCTGTATCCAGGGTGCCATTTCATTGAGATCGACAGCGGAAAGGGGCATTGAATTTACCTTTCCTTGCGACTGGTTTGCTTTCCGGGAAAGATTGTTTGGGCTTGTATGGGGTCTGCTGGACCCCATTTCCTATATAAAAAGCAGTTCCTAGTGCCATGAAAATTTCTGCAACACTTACCGCATTGGTGAGGGTACTTGCAGTTGTGTCTGCAACAACCAAGTCCCAGCATACCTTACTGGCGATGACCCCCTGTGTTGTTGTGCCCGTCAGCCTGACTCCAGTTGTCAAACCAGCTGTGTGACCATGTACTTCAGCCACAGCTTACCGTCAACGTTGTCCAGGTGGCGTGAGGGGTCCCCTGACATTCCGTGCCGGAATTGTTGGTCGCCGGGCGCTTAATGTTCTAGTAACTGGAGTATGTTTCCCAGCTGCTTGCTTAGCTGTCTCCCCGAGTTAGTAACCTGTTACAAGCTGTGCAGATTGCACGTTAATTGCTTGGAGGAAGCGTTGGCGTGCCACCTTCGTTATTCCCAATTTTTGAAACCTCGCCATAGGCATCATGTTTTATCCGTACTCCATGGGTTTGTCTCCCGGTTGTCCTTGACCACGTGGCTGCTCTCACGTGTTTATGGTTGATGGCTGCTCCTCTCGAGGGAGGCATCACGAAAAGTCGAGTTGATGAAGGCGGTAATCTGCAAGTGGTAAATGTCCCTGGGTTGAACTTCGGGAGTGGAGCGAAAGAGCGAGAGTTGAAACTGATCGTTTTTGAAGCGTAAATCGGCAAAACGAACGCGATTGTGGACAAAGTATAACCAACAAAGCGAAAGCGATTAGATACGGCGGAACACGTGTGTTCTTGAAGAGAGCCGACTACAGACGATGGAAGAAAGGAGGGGTAATGCCATTAGTCCCCCAGCGCAAGAACTAGGGACCCGGGCAAGTTGCAGGGTGCTGACCCGGGGGTGACTGAGTTCCAGCAGTAATTAGCCTATAGTTCGGATACGCGCGATAAATCCATTTAGGGGTTAGTGATAAATGCTATGTTTAAACTCAAACGGATTTGAACACCTGGTGTCATCAATATTTGACAGTAATTCATAAACACATGCTCATGGTGTAGTCGGAATCGTACAATCGACTTGTCTTTGGCAGAGTTTTCTTAGGAATATGGAGAGGGTTTTGTCAAGTTTTTACACACTTTCTTCTGACATGATATCTTTGGGGAATTCAATTATTGTCCTTTTAGATCTGATTACGAATTAACCTTCTAGTTGCTGATTGAAGACTAATTTGTTATTTAGATTTCCCACTGGCTATTGTTGTGGGTGTAACAACGGCTTTCCTGATCACAGCAGTGTCCATTGCTGCATACTTCTACAGAAAATGGTGAGTTTTGTTCTAAAATTATGAAGAATGGTCCAAGTGTGCGTAAGACATTTTTATTAAACTAAATCGTACATGTACTTTTTAAATTCTTCTCTTCGAAATATCAGGATGATACATGTGTAATGTAACCTTCGTTACTTGCTTAAAAAACTGCAGCTATGTTAAGTCATCAGCACTCAAGTCAAGCAGCGAGTATTGTTTCTATGTTAAAGGAGGCATCAGAAGAGGAAGGTCAATGCACTGAAGACTGTTGTCGAAGATATGTCTACGGGAGGACAAAGCATACCCCTGAATATCAGATTCAAACCCGGTGCTCCAAATTCAGTTATAGAAGCATGGACCCACATGGCCTACCCAGATGACCTAAGCAGGGACGATTCAGTTTGTTGGGCCACACAGATTGGTCCCATAACAACTGAAGCTCCACCTCCGTACAGTCAGTCTTCTGTCCCTCTAACACAGAAAAGATCCAACACACGCACGGGTCATCACCAAGCTGGCAGTCCAGCTATGGATATTGATACAGATGGTGCTCAAGTGCTGGGGACGGACACAGGAAGATCAGAACGAGACACAGCATCTAGGACATCTCAACTGAGCATTCAACACGTTGACATGAACTTTGATAGAAAGAATTCGATCTCGGTGTTTGATTTAAACTCTGACACAAAATACTAAATTGTTCCTGATAGTATTGGAAATTGCTCAGAGGCCTATAACCTCTTGTTGTGTCGGCACTTTTGCAAACTGTATATAATCCCTCAGACTATTAAGCTACATTACAAAAATGCTCTCCGGGCACATTTTTGTCCAAAACTGAGGAGGGAGTTGGGAGTATAATTTTCTTTTGAAAACAAAGTAAAGCGGGAGGAACGCTTATATTTGTCAACAAAAAACAACTGGTCACACTTTAAACTCGGCTCTTTCACACTATGTCAGTTTTCAAGCATGTAATTGTTATGCTATTTTTTTAAATGAAATTGTCCTCATGCTTATCTAAGAGACGCTTCGAAAAGTTCGAAAAGTGGTACCATCAATTAATTTTTTTATACTTGATACATGTCGTCACAATATGGCTGAAATATTGCCAATGTGACCTTAAATATTAACTGACTCACTCTCTCTTTATCCATGTTATTTAACTAAGTGCATCATGGCTGCAATAGGGACAAGATTTCTCAGAAACTCCTGAAGTTACATGAAACTTCGCAAGCTCATCAACCAGACAAGACTAGGCTTATCAAGACTGAGTAAGAAAATGGGTGCCATAAATTATTGATTTTTCATTGTTACGTCCATTGCTACATGTTTTAAGTGTGTGTGCATCCTCTCGTCAATGAGGAAAAGTTAAACGTGAAACTACCTGAAAGTTTGCAAAACCTTTAAGAGATACTTGTCAAGACTAAAGCTTGGTGCTGTAAATTGTATTTTTACAGAGTTACAGCCCTTGATCCATGTTATTTTACAACGTGCATAGTGGCTGCAATGGGGACGGGTTTTGTTCGGAAACTACTAAAGTTACATGACTGAAACTGTGTGTGCATTTTATCTAAGAGATAGTTATCAAGACTGAGTTAAAACATTGATGCAATAGCTCTGTGTGCATATGCATACATACTACATAATGATCAAACAAAATTGCAATGCCCCATGGCGTGGATAGTGATAATGATGTTTTCTTGTTTTAATAATAACAGAGTTTGCCTCATATGAGGCTCGAATTTTGAAATTATTTTGTATTGACAATAAAAGTGATTGACGCGCATGATTTAAAGGGAAACATTCCCTTGTTCTAGCCTGACGTATCCCATACAACAAAAATGTTTTTTATTCTTGTTATGCGTGATAGTGAGTGTACCCTAATGATCTTGGTTATAATGCCTATACTTATTTACGTATTTACTTATACCATGCCTATTTACTGTGTAAATATAACAACAATTGTACATTTTGTGCTGGAAACAAAAATATAAATAAAGTATGTTTTTATTTAATGGTGATTTCACACATCATTACTCAGTGGCACTTCAATGGATCGGGAGTCAGGCTTGGTGACTCATGTGGTTGGTGACTCATGTTGTTGGTGACTTGTGTGGTTGGTGACTTGTGTGGTTGGTGACCTGTGTGGTTGGTGACTTGTGTGGTTGGTGACTTGAGTGGTTGGTGACTTGAGTGGTTGGTGACTCATGTGGTTGGTGACTTGTGTGGTTGGTGACTTGTGTGGTTGGTGACTCATGTGGTTGGTGACTTGTGTGGTTGGTGACTCATGTGGTTGGTGACTCATGTGGTTGGTGACTTGTGTGGTTGGTGACTCGTGTGGTTGGTGACTCATGTGGTTGGTGACTTGTGTGGTTGGTGACTTGTGTGGTTGGTGACTTGACTGTAAGAGAGCTCACTCCTTACCCATCTGAAGTACACACATTTGTTCGACTTTTTTCGAAAAAGGCCTGTCATTTAAAAGTTGAGAGGCAAACGATTAAACTGAACCCACCGTCTTAATATGGCTGAATTCACTGTCAACAATGGTTACCGGAAGCATGGAGCCGAAACACATGATCCGCCTTAACCTTTGGGTCAGATCATGGGAAACTGGATTCGACATCACGCACATATTGTCGATAAGAAAATCCTCAACAAAATGTCTAATCTTTCATTTAAGCCACCAAACGTAGCACTCAAAACAACCAGGTCAATCAAATGATCGGTTTTTTAGATTGTCGGAGTTATAAGAGCCTAACATATTCCTTGACGATAACATTTTCTAACATGAATGAGTCTGATAAGTTGTACATGAGAGACACCCGGGGCCCACATGCACAAATCGATCTTAGCGCTAAGGTTATCGTAACTCCCATACTTTAACATAGGCTTACGACAGTCTTAGCGCTAAGACCGCTTTGTGCATGTGGGCCCTGGTAACACAAACATGTATATAAGTTCAACCATTGCGCAATTAATGTAGCGCCAAGGTACTGTTGCTCATGATGTACGCTCCACCTGAGTGAGTGAGTTGGGTTTAACGCCGCTTTTGACAGTATTACAGTTATATCGCGCCGTGTCAGCTTAATGTGGAAGGAAAGCCCCAAGTGCCGCTGCGCCTGAACTGACAGTTAATATTTATATAAAAAGACATTCTGAATCCCTAGCTAAACGTGTAGATAAACAGACAGACAGACCAATATGTTCAGCAATATGCCAGTTGACCCTTCCTTATACAGACATTTTGTAGTATGACATTCATATTATCACAAATGGGTCTGTAAACATATCAATAAAAGATTCATGTTTGTGAAGCGGTTTGCGGTTGTCCTCCAACAAAAAATAAACGGTCCAACCAGGAAGTCATGCAAACGGGAGAATTATTGAAATTGCCCAGAAAGCAGTTGAGGTCATTCTTTGAAACTCTACACCCTTAACAATGTTGGTGATTGTGTTCCACCGTGAGCCATTAACCATAACACTTGCTGACTCTGATTTTAGTAGAGTTATCTTGGCTCAAGTTTTTGCCGCTATTATTTTGGTGTAAAAGGGATATTAACTATTTTCCTTATCATGTGATTGTAATGTGAATCTGTTTTCACTTTCAGTTGAAATTGTATATAAATATCCTTTTCCTTTTGTTTTATGGTATTCACAAATCAAACTGAAGGGAAAGTTTCCTAAACCTTTTGGTTTCTTAGGGGATTTTGTTAAAGAGGTTTCTCAATTAGATTGATGTTTTTCTTCAGATAAATATAATAACAGATGTCACACTCAGGATATATGTGTCTGGTGTACGCTATGTGTATTTATCTTTTTAAGAACATGTTCGATGGAATTCGGTGTGTGCAGTTAACGTTTGAGTGTGGTTAAGAGAATGGTTTGACGCCGCTTTTTGTAATATTCTGCCAATATCATGTCAGGGGACACCAGAAACAGGCTTCTAACATTGTACCCATGTGGGGAATCGAACCCAGGCTTTCGGTTTAAGCGGTGAAGGCTCAAACCGATAGGCCCACTACCGCCTCTCCATATTTAGTGGAACCCATGTGATCTGTTCTTGAACACACGCAAAGGCAAGTCAAGTGTTCACTTGAGTTGGGGTGATGTGTATAGGGTTTAACGTGACCTCCTAACCTATCCCCATAGCTACGTGCACATCGTGTGTGTGTCTGCGCGTGCGTGCGGGCGGGCGTGCGGGCGGGCGTGCGGGCGTGCGTGCCAGGCAGGGTGACAATCTATTAACGTCTTTTGGTATCACGCGGCCGGATGTCGAACCAACGACCTTCAGCTGTATCAGCTGTACCACAGAGGCGGTTGTTCACTTGAGTGAGTGAGTGAGTATGGTTTTACGCCGATTTTACGCCCACTGCGGATTCTAACGTATGATAGAACTCCATTGGTGTTAGTCGAAATCAAGACGGGGGCAGTGTGTTAACTGGCTTATTGTCATTGTTCTTGCCACCTTGGATCGTTGCTTGTGTTGTCAACGGGATTTTCTGGTCTAGATTATTTACAAGCCGGTGTTATGCAGCTGGATAACTGCGGTGTATAACAGCATCGCTGCACTGAAGACTGTATTATCAAACTGTTGACAATGGAGATCGACGTGAAGAGCCGGAATAATTGTTCAGCAAGCCACATTTGTTAGAGGCGACAAACGGGATCATATGGCCAGGCCCGCTGACTTGGTTGATGCACGTCAATGTATCCCAATAACGTAGATGAATGCTCAGGATGTCAATCATCGGATGATCTGACCGAGATTCGATTATTTACAGACATTCGTATAGCTGGAATACTGGAGTGCGTGATGAGTGAGAGTGGCTTTATCCATCGCAATTTCACAATTATTTCCTCCTAGCGACCTTAAAGGGAAGCTTGGCTCGGGTGAATATGTAGCCCAACCAAATTTAGATTATCCAAAACCCGAGTTGGTCTGTGAACTCAGATTGTATTATTAAATTTTTCAGATGGTTACCCAAAAACATGCAGACAATGTCTTCACGAATGAGTGAGTGAGTATGGTTTTACGCCGCTTTTAGCAATATTTCGGCAATATCACGGCAAGGGACACCAAAAATGGGCTTCAAACATTGTACCCATGTTGGAAACACTCTTCCTGCATGCATTGTTTACATCGCTAGGGTAGCATTCATACTGAAAAGTATAAGGGGTAATTCGGGAATATACTTTTTCGTTAGTCTGTTTAAATCACGGTGTCTGGAACATCTACCGTTTTTTGTCGTCACAACACGCAAGAAGATAGCTTTATTCATATGCACCAGAAACGTTTTAATTTTCAGACCTTCTAATAATGACCTTTGTTTTTGTTGGTGAGACGGAACTTGTCTTATAAACCTCCCGTGACGTCACTCTATTGTTCTCCAGTCTGGTTAAATCTTATAAACAAGGATGTTATAATAACCCTGTGGTTTTATATAATATCCCATGGATTTTATTAATACGACTCTCGTTCAGATTGTAACATATAAATGTTTCTCGATAGAAATTTATTTTGCATTTTAACACAATGTAATGAAATGGAAAACCAAATGACAAATGTTTTCTTTTCTTTTAACTTCGTATCTGTAGCCCAGTGAGTGAGTGTAGCACTAGGCTACCGACGCGCTGATAAACCAATGCAATAATGTCTTTTTCAAGTACCCTAGGCCAGCAACAGATATTTTACGCCCGTTTCCTAAGTTTCTTTTTCGGTTAATAATTTAGATAAAACACTTCCCCTCGTGTTTTTATGATATTTAAAACTGTTATCCTGACGCCCCTTGGTTTTATCCAGCGGATGCGGGTTTCAAATGTATAAAAAAATCATCGGACGTGCTTTATCCTACACATCATACATGTTGTATTTACGGCTTAAGGTAACAAACACTTGCATGTTTATGCAAAGTGTGTGAGTGTCCGATGCTGCCAATAGGGCAGGATATGTTTACCCTTCCTCGAACACCAGGTGTCATCACATCGATTCATATAATTTTCACCGTTATCTTGCCTTTTACGACCCGTGAAGATTCCGGGGTAGAATAGGTCTTCAGTAACCCATGCTTGCTGTAAAAGGCGACTATGCTTGTCGTAAGAGGCGACTAACGGGATCGGGTGGTCAGGCTCGCTGACTTGGTTGGTGCATGTCATCGATCCCAATTGGTGGATCGATGCTCATGATATTAATCACTGTATTGTCTGGTCCAGACTCGATTATTTACAGACCGCCGTCATATAGCTGGAGTGCGGCGTTAAACTACAAACCAAACAACAACAAAATCATGCCTTGTACATCTAATGGAACCCGTTCAGTAGGATAATCGAAATGATTATTCTATTATATATATGAATGAGGTTTTTATCTACGTTCTTGGTCAGCCATAGCGGAACTGTTAAATGAAAAAAGCTACAAACCCCAGCATGAGAAACATCTGCAAAAAGCAGTCCATTGTATGATTCCAACTCTAGCATGCGCATGTGTTGATAAATCACTACCAAATAGTTATGATACCAGGTGTTTGTAAGCAGGCGAGCGTATCCTGCCCCACCGTTGGCAGCCGTCACAAACACATGCAAAGGCAAGTGAAGTGTTCCCTTTACAAACATGGGGCCTTACCATGTACGAAAAGAACATATGATTCGCCCAACTCTTCCAGTCAGTTCCGAACTTTGCTGGATTCACCAGCATTGATGCCCAGTTTTATAGATAATGCCGATTGTCAACCAAACTGGATTGAAGCTGATGGTTTGTTTATGTTATTTCAGCCGGGTTGCCCTCTAAGAACATTATTGTATACTTTATTATAATTGTTAACACATCTTAACTCCGTGGTGTAGTGGTAGAGCGTCCGCCCGGAGAGCGGAAGGTCCGGGGTTCCATCCCCGACCGCGTCATACCAAAAGACGTTAAAAGATGGTACTTGTTGTTACCCTGTCTGGCGCTCGGTATTAAGGGTCTAAAACAAGGACTGGTCGGCTCGGAGTCAGAATACTGTGTCTGAGTCGGGTAT